AATATATTTTTTTTTATTCTACAAAAAAAATTAACCAAAATAATCTTAACTTTGCAAAGCTCTCATAAAGTCATTATCTACAAAAATCCTTCCAAATTTTAATTTAGAAAAACCATATAACAATTTTACTCCAATCTCGCTCTTTAATCAACAAAAGAACCTCACATTTGTTATGGTTGTGTAGTTTTGTGTCTCAATGTTTAGTTTTGGCCTTGATTTGCAATGGACTTCTCTAAGTATCATTTTGAGGTTTTTTTAGGTAATTTTTGTTAAAGCTTATTCTTTACTTTTATCTGAAGATGTCTATAACATTATTTTTACTAATTTACTTTATTTTATCTTATTTATGGTCAATAAAAAAAAAGAAAAAAAAGAAGTAAAATCTTATAAAAAATAGAATAATACATTTTTTTTGCTACCTTCCTAATTTTTATCTATATTTTTAAAGTAATTATTTATTATATTTTCCATGAAAATCTTCTATAATATAATATTTTTTTTAAATCTCTTTCACTCAATAGCTGTTTTACAATACAACAATCTCTATACAATATATTTAACAAATCATATTATTTTTTAAAATAATGTATTATATTGAATATCAGTTGCAACATAGACATGTTTGAATAATTGAAGATATATTTTGAAGATAATTGAAGATATATTTTGATATAAAATACTCAAGATTCTTATAATTAGATTAGAGGCAACTTTTAGGTAGAAATATTCTTTTTGATATGAATCTATAATATATATATATAGATAGATAGATTAAATAAATAATCTTGAATATTGTAAAAATTAGAGTAAAAGGAAATAAAAATTCTTTTAATTATATCTGTTATTTTATTAGAATTTATTTAATAAAAAATTAGATGTATTAATTTATAAGAAAAATATTTTTAAACAATCTAAAAATGTCCAAAATTGATGCAATGATTTAAGATAAACTCTTCACAAATATTTGATAATATTATATATTCTAAAAACATTAGACATTCCATTTGGTTCTTAGAATTTTTTATCCTATAATAATTTTTATTTTCTTAAAATTTATTTATGAATTATTATTTGAGATGCTATATTTTAAAAATTCTAGAATAGTTGTGTTAATTTTGTTTTTTAAATCTTAATTTAAAAACTTAAATCTCTAAGTTTTTATAATATTATAAATTATATTTTTGTATACTCTTTTATATTCTTAGAATAGATAAATAAAATTATCCAAATAATACATTATTTAACCATCTAAAAATTCATTGAATACATTATTTATTATATTTTAGATGGCAATAGTAGCATTTGTGAGTTCAAAAAACATGACATTGAATTCAAAATAGCTATAATTAACTTAGATTTTAAAATTATTCTCTTTTGTATTACATACTAAATTTTTAAATTCTATTTTAATATTGATCTTAAATTTTTTTATTTGATTAATTAGTTCTAATATTAAATATTAAAAATTATAATTTATGATGATAAATACTTTGAATATAAATTTAGAAATTTCTATTATTTTTTAATTTATTTTCTTTTATTTTTTAAAAAATATTGGCTTAATTATTTTTAAAAAATTCAAATAAAATCAAATAAAATTCTTTATAAGATTTGTATTGATAATATCCTTTAAATTAGTAAGTTTGTTAAACATCAAGTAATAAATTGGTCTAAATGGTGATTGAATTCTGATTTAAAGATCAATTATGTAATAATGAGTTTAATTTCAAGTTATAAGATGATCATTATTTTGTTAAATACAACTTAATATTTTTTTATTTATTTTGCTCCACGGATTTTTCTACAAATTTTACTTGAATGAGAACTTGGTATCGGATGAATGGCATATGCATCTCCTTCTTATGCAGCTGTTATAAATGTATTAATTCCAAATAATAGGGATTTGAATATTTCAAAAATAAGACAATATAGAATTTAAAATTACAAAATTTATAATTTCTAAAACGATTAATTTTTTAAATTATAATAATCCTAAAATAAATAAAAATTTCATTAGAGATTTTATAATATATAATACTACTAGACTTTTAGAAATATTACTTCTAGACTTTTATTGAAAATATTGAATATAAGTTATTTTGAAACTTTTAAGTTGAAGATCATTTCTAGATTTTAACAATTGTGCTACCAAAGCCAAATACATTTAAAAACACATTTAATCATTGTAAGGGTAAAATTCACCTTTTAATCCAAATTACAAGATGGTCTAATTTAATAGTTTATCTTTATTATTAGTATAATTAAAAAATCAAAGAAAAAAAAGAATAATAAAAGCAATACACATTTAAACTAATTATGCAAGATTTATTAATTTTTTATTTAGTTAATAGTTAAGAATAAAAATAATGTATATCTCTAGTACAAGATATTTTTAATCTTTATAATGATGCTAAAAACAAGTTTTTGTAGATAAATTATTAGAAATTAAAAAAACAATAATTTAGATTTATTTCAAAGATAACTTGATTATATAATTGAATTTATTTTTTAAAATAGTATTTAAAAATACCTAATTAAATCCAGAAACTTATAAGATCTTCAAATCTTGTTTAAATTGGTTTTCTAAATTTTAGTAAATTTATTTATATAAAAATTTTCAAAATATATTATATTTTTTATAAAATAAATCTAAATAAAATTAATTCGTGACCTAAATATACTTTATTAAAAATTTAATTTTTTTATTACAATAAATACAATTTAAATATGTTAAAATATTTTTTTTACTTAATTCACTAAAAAATCATGAATTTCTTTTTTATCCTTTTTCTATCTACAAAATAACATGCATAAGTTTCAAATAAGTATAATTTAAGTGAAAAATATTATTTTACATATTAAATTTCAAAACTAAGCAAGAAATATATTAAAGAAAAAAAACATAAAAATACTAGGCTAACTAAAATAATTACCTTTAAGACTTACTAAGATTTTAAGACAATTTACCTTATAAGTCTTTTATTACTTAAATATCTCTTTAAATTCTTAACTTAAATACATTCATAAACATATAAATAAGGAAAATCCTATTAGTTTAAAAAATTTATTTTAATAATATCAAAATATTATTTTTATTGAATCCACCAATAAAAATATTGTTAGAGTTGATAATCACTTACAAAATAATTACAATATTATATAAAAAAAACTTTGTAAAAAATATTATATATAAAAAAACTTTATATACAAATGTTGTTGTTCAAATATAATAAATCACTAATTTATAATATAGCATGATTTAATTTAGCTCCATCAAAATGACAATGATGTCAATCTTGAATAATTACTTATATCAAAAGTTATAAAAAAATGTTAGCTTGCCTAACTCATTTGGCAATGATATCGAGCTTCTATATGCTATTATATTTAAGATAGTCAAAGATGTGAGATTTTTTAGGTCATTTGGCAATGATATGGCTTGAACATCTTATCATATAAAAAGTAGTCAAAGATGTAAAGTTGCCCAATTCAATTTGGCCATGATATCAACTTGAGCAATATCTTATATCACAAATGGTCAAAGTTGTGAGTTTGTCCAATACATTTAGCAATGATGTCAAGGTTGAATAATTGCCTATGTATAAAGTAGTCAAAGATATGAAGTTGCCTAATTCATTTGGCAATGGTATCAAGTTTGAGCAATTACTTATATTACAAATAGTCAATAATGTGAGGCTATTCAACTTATTTGGCAATAATATTTGTACTTACTCCTATATTTAAATTAGTCAAAGTTATGATATTGCCTAATTCATTTGAAAATAATGTAACCTTGAACAATCACCTCTAACTTAGTAAACCAAACATTTGCTTTCATATGATTCACAAAACATATGTCATCTTAAGAATGCACCTTCAATTATGAATAGTCTCATATATAACATTTGTTAATCCACAAGTTGTTTACATATCTTAATATAGAAAATTCTAGTCCCAAAAGGATCCCAATAAATCTTAAAATGACTACCTTACATCCTTATCTTAATAAGCATTAATCAATCCTATAAATCTTAATAATGACATGCCTCAATGAAATTCACTTTAATAAATTACAAGTAAATATTTACAAATGAATATTTTCTCTATTCTTTTTGTAAATTCAACCACTTACTCAATACTCCACATACCAAAATTTCCTCCTTGTCAATCTTTGCAAACAAAGAGCCTTGCTTAAGAATCTAGATAGGATAGTCTTTACTTGAGGTCCTCTCTTCAATCCAACCACCTCAATACTCAAATCTCAACAATCTAAAGTTAGTTAAAAGACCTCTTTCAACTCATTTAGAAACACCTACATTCACATCAATCCAACAATTTAGATTTATAAACTATTCCACTAAAGTTTTTAATAATTAAACCACTTTCTTCATTTAATAATAAAACATTGTCTCAACTCCTACTTTATTACCTTTGAGCTTGTTAAAAATCTAATATCAGTCAAATCTTCAAAAAATTCAACCTTACATTTCAACAATTTAACCAATACCTCCAAGATAATTTATAAATTTCATATAATGCATTACTTTCATTTTGCACTTTATTAGTGCTAATTTATAATTTATAAACATAATAGAAATAACACCATTACTTATATGAAATATCAAAAAAAAATAATAAAAACATATTATTAATTATAATTCTACTTGTTTCTCACCAAAATGTCTTAAAATTCTACCTTCATCAAATTCTCCTTCAACACATTATTGTAGCTAGTTAATACAATTGATTGAAAACTATTAATTTCAATCAATAAATTAATCATTGGCCCATTTGTTTGATTCAAAGACAATATCCTTGGCCTTAGTATGCCATAACTATTATTCACAATACTAAAATACAAATACAATACAATCATAAAAATAAAAATCCAATACAAAATAAAATTTTATTGATCATAAATAAGTTGTTCACAACTATAACAAAGCATGAGACTGTCACTCAAATACAATTTGTGATATCAAAACTTATCCTTCAATGTGTCATATAAAATTACCTTGTTTTATATTCCATCATAATATTTACAAGAATCACAACAAAACATCACAACAAAATATCTTCAACCCTTCAAGTAATGCCACCTATTAACATTCTACATCTTCATTCAAATAATCAATCTTTTACATATTAAAATCACAACACCTCTATTTATAAATCCTATACTTTTTTACAAATCATAATCATCATTGTATTTATATACTATAACACCTAAAATACATACTAAAACAATGTAATATTTTCTACCAAATCACTAAAATATCCCACAAATAACCATCTCACCTAAATGTTTGTCTTGTTTCCACCATATATCAAATATCTCCAAACACATCAACCATCCCCAAACACATCAATGCCAACTCAAATGTCTATATTAACATTTCTTTACCACCCAAATCCTTCATTAATACATTAGTCTTATATTTATTCCCAATTTATACTTGTTAATGTATTCATCTAGACATAGCACCCAACATTCTTTAAAATTATATATACCATAATTAAAACATAATAATGGTATAGTTTTGAGCGGCCCGAATTCTTGTGATTAAGTCTCCATGACAACCACACTAAATACTGAACACAATACATCTTGTCTAACATCTACTGTAGCCTATAAATGTGTCTAGCATGAAGAGATATAGTCGCCCCAACTTCAGACAATCTATACATATGTGTACAATGTGCTAAAAAGTGCCTTAACCACTACATAACACTATCCGGGACATAACCATTACGCCAATCCTAAATTCCTCACGGCCACCGCACAAAACCAAACAAAACTCGAACCGCGGCAGCAATCTGAAACAACAAGCACGAAGAAACACCCACTACAGACACAAGTATAGATGCTACTCAGCAAATCGTCAAAGCAGGGGAACCAACACTCAACCCTTACCGACACAGGCACGGCCGCCCCACAAACTACAAACAAAACTCGTACCGGTAGAGCAATCTGAAACAATAAGCCCGAAGAAACACCCAGTATAGACACAGGTACAGCTGCTCCTTAACGACTCGCAAAAGCCTAGGAATCTGCAACTCAACCCTACCTGCAAACCCCGAACCGACACATGCAGGGGAGCCAAGCTGCTGTGGATCCGAACCTTCCAAGTAGACTCGATATCATCACAAACTACGCATCAGCTCGGCTCTGACGATGCGATCCTCAAACACTAGCGCCCACGCGGCAGTCCCTGCAAGCCGGCACTTGCTCAGCAGACCATTCTCTGATCCGAGCAGATTTGAGCAATACGCTACGGTGAGAAGAAGCACGGCGACAACAGATATGACTGCAACTTACTCCACCCACAGCACTGATTACACCAAAGAGAGCAGCTTCACAGCATGGAAGCATGCGTCGAAGCGAGGAGCCACGAGGCTCTCGGCAAGCGGCAGACGAGGCAAGCAGATGCGGGCGAAGCGAAGAGGAGAGCCTTGTCTTAGCCAGACGAGGCTGTTTTGTTTTTGTTGGGAATGGGTCATCCCGAGGATGGATGAGAAGAAGACCGACGATCGGTACTATTTCTCATCCTAAAGACGAATGAAACCTCTACGGAGGCATCCAGTGCTTTGCCGTGGAAATGCGTGGCTGTAGGGGGTGGCCGTGCCTGCCAAACAACACTCCACCACGAGATCCTTTCAAAATTTGCTCAATACCATGTAGAGTTACTCATCATGAGATGAAAACAAATAAATACACACAGATTGATTATGAAATAACAAAGATAATACATATATAATAGTAAAGGGATGCAACTTTTATAGAGTACAACATTACAGTGCACTGTGCTATACTAAGTGAATTTAATCAAGTGTTGGTTTGGAAAGAAACAACAATCATGCACTTTAGGAAGAGAATGGTTTGCAACTCGCACCCTTGTATTACAAATAGTAATTTGAACTTTTTGAATTCTCGGAAAGCCTCCCACAAGATGACTGTATTTAGTCACGTCTAACAATAGTGGGTTCTATGGGATTTGAAGGAACTTTGTTCTCAAAGTTCTGAAAGGAGAAACCTATTTCACACAACGTTGGTCAGTTTCTGAATTCTGTCCTGAAAGAATGTTTAGAGTCGCATTGGACGTGAATTACACATTCTTGTTCAGTCAGAATCAGAAAAGTGCTCATTCGAGCAGACTAGAAAAGCATGCAAAATCAAATGAGACAGTAATTTTGTCTAAACAGATCGTTCAGCCGCAGATTTGTTCAACAGCACGGAGCAGACTTGGACACCTTCAGCTACTGAGAAAAATATCCACTCCGATCCAAGGGTTGTTAAGTAACCGGAACTGTCAAACTTCTGGATGACTTGAGATCCTGGGTTTGCAAACGCCAACTGCCAATATCCAACACAATTGTGTGAGATTACGAGCACTAAATAGAACAGGACGACATAGACTTCTCACGGTAGAAACAAAAAAGAAAAAAAAAAAGTGCGAGGGGATCACTACCTGAACGTTTCGTTTAACTAGTATCCTGTGGAGCTCCTCGAAGGCGATGATCCCACTTGTATCAATGTTTGTCACAGCTGCGGAAAAGGTAACATCTCAGCACAACTGACAAGTATGGCATAATCGACAATTATCTAAGTTATAATTTTGGCAAGCTACATGTCAAAAGCGAGGAACAAGTGAATGGAGAAACAAATAAACTATCCAGAGAGAGACTTACGAGTCAAGTCAACGATGAGGTACTCAATACGAGGGCCGCCCGTCTTAGCCACCCTTTCGGTCTCATCCTCTAGATATCGGAGGACCTTGTCATGGATATACTGTGAGTTGGAGAAGTAAATGGCAGCGTCAAGACGAACAGCAACAATGCCATGTGGAAGAGTAGCGTCCGGATATTGCAAAATGTTTCGGTACACTTTTGTCCCAGGGATATTTCCCAAGCGAGCGGTGTGGGGTCGAGTGACGTTGAAAAGGATTTTGACGAAGGAGATGCAGACAGCAACAAGAAGACCGATCTCTACAGAGACGAAGAAAACGCCAAAGAAAGCACCCAAAGTAGCCAGGAAGTCGAACTTGTCAATCTTCCATATAAGCCATGCTGCTTTGAAGTCGACCAAAGAGATGACAGCGGAGATGATGATGGCGGCGAGGATGGTATTTGGGGTGTACTTGAATAAGGGGGTGAGTGCCACCAGTGTAATGAGTACCACAATGGCCATGACGATGTTGGACATGGCTGTCTTGACTCCTGCCTGGTAATTTACGGCCGACCTGGAGAATGACCCTGAAACCACCAGCACACGAAATTGGTTGGTCACGCTGCAAATCAATAGAAAGGTCCAAAATAGCTTTCTATGACTGTAATCAATGACTTCGATATGTCCAGGCTGTGAAAATAGTGCCCATGAGATTCTATTACAGTGGGTTCAGATTGTCCAAGAATCACAAGGTAGAAAGATCATTACCAGTTGCAACATAGCATGAAGTGACTGAGCCACAAATGTTCATGATACCGAAGGCAATCATCTCCTTGTTTCCATCAATGTGGTAGTCTCGCAGCGCCGCAAAAGTTCGTCCAATTGCAACACCCTCGGTAAGTGCAATAAGAGCCGCAACGAAACCGATTTTCGCTCCTGCTGTGACGTATTTTCCAGTAAAAAATATCTGATCTGCTGACGATGGGTTCACCCCTTTCTTGATGTTCCCAACCTGCAAATGTACAAAAGATAAGGATCAGAAATTATGAATCGTGTCCAACACATCATTGCTCCTGTTACACACTACAACGCCATGTGGCATCAGTTCTTATGCTTCACAAGATCAGGGTTCATCATCACTCACCACTTTGACGCCGTACTTGTCCACCCTGAAGATAAACACGAACAATGTCGCAAGAACCACCGAAATAAGAGGTGAAATAGCAGAAACCCAAAACAACTTAGGTTTCTTCTTAGCCTGCATATCCAATCACATCCGAGGGTATTCAAGGATAGGCGTGTGTGCATCAACTACAGGCATCAATAGCAGACCCAAACAGGAAAACAAACATCTAGCGAATTACGAACTCTGATTGAGGACGATTTAAGTATCTCCTGCAAAAGAAAATACTCCCATCTTTGATTCTTGCAGAATGAAAATGAGTCAAGTTCGAGCCCATACCAGGATCTTTGTGAGCACGAGAAATGATAAGAAAGCAAGCCCAATCACGATCGATCGCCAGTTCCACTGCAAGTGTGTATTGAAGACTCGACGTTAACAAAGAACTTTTCTTGGCGACAATTTTCTTGCAACTATCTTTCCAAAAGTCACTTGCAATATTGGTGAAACCTAATTATCAGCAAACATACACTTGTGTGCATGATGGGAAAAAGATGAAACCCCTTGCAAATGTAAACAAAGACGATCAGCACCTCATTAGTGTTTTGAAAGACAGACGTCATGACGGAAATGAAGTCCGTGTCCGTGGTGAAGTGCGTTATGTTCAGCAACCCCTTCAGCTGTTGCAAGGAGATGGTAACAGCCGCACCCGCCATGAAACCCACAATCGCCGCATGCGAGAGGAACTGAATGACGAAACCTAGCCTGCAAGAACATCATCAAACTTAAATTCCTATTTCTCGCATGAGCAATAATTTTGCGAAAACTCGACAGCACAACTAGATAAGAGATGATAGTGATGATGATGTTAATGAAAAGGTCATTACCGCAAGAGGCCCAAAGCTGTCTGGAAGAGACCAGCGAAGAAGGTCGCCGTGAACGCCAGTTGCAAGTAAAGTTGTGGCTGCTTCGTGGGACTCAGCTCTTGCTTCAACAAAGTTCCCAAGAGAAGTGATACCACAGCCACGGGACCAATGGCAATGTCACGGGAACTACCGAGCAAGGCATAGACCAAGGGCGGCACGAAACTCGAATCTGTTATACACACAAGAATTCCGTGATGAGTAGAATGTCAGTTGATGTCAGACACACAGAGCTGAAATGAAAACGCTTGCCATTCTTGCATAATCCATGAATGCGACACCTAGTTGGAAAGACTTACAAAGTCCATTTACAGAGGGCACTCCAGCGAGCTTCGCATAGCCGAGGTCCTGCATACAGTGTGAATACCATAAAGTTATTCTTCGTCGTCAAAGTCGCACTTCGGAAAAAATACTTCAAATCAAATGCATTGTGATCTGAACCGCGTGCATTAGAGCATCGTATGCTTATGAAAACCAAGAACAACAAGGGACCCACTCAAGTAAGCCTGTCTATGAAAGACTAAGACTTCAGAGTTCAAGTTGTTTTGGTTATGCTTCGTCTTCGACGTTCAAAGAACATCAATTTTGAAATCTTGTCTGTTCGAAGAGAGCCTAAAACAGAAGCAGTCAGCTTTGGCGGTACCTGGGGAATGGCAAGACTGGCGATGGTGAGGCCGGCAATGAAATCGCTAACAAACATCCTGGGAGTGTACGTGGTGATCCATTCCAGCAAGGGGAAGACAAACTTCAGCCCCAACCAGCTTTTGGAGTGTTTGCTCTGCCCTTTGAACTGTCTCAGGGGAGCATCATGGAAGAACGTCTCCCATAGCCCGTGGCTCACGTCCTTCACGAGCCCGCCCCGAGGAGGCACGTGCACTTTGTGCACTAGTGGTACCTCCTCGTGCACCGTCCGGCGCTTGTCGTCCCCGCCTCCACCCATACCTTGCAAATCAGGCGCCATCACTAATCCTCACCCACCTGCGAAAGACATCACAATCTCAGCAAATTTTTCACCTTCTCTCAATGGTGGATTATTATTGTCTTTTCTCTTATCTACCAATGCGCTCCTGCGTAAGCTATTAGTTAGTGCACCAGTCGAGTACTGTCACTTGGAATGCGGTATCGCAATAACCGATCACGGACAACTGTTCTTCCAAAACGGTCTTTCCACCAAAATCATATCACTGATGGACAGAACAAATTCATTGGATGTGCACCAAGGCAGTTAGTTGTGAGGCCTAAGTAGATCTCGACTGCAGGTCCAAGTGCTAAGAGTGGAAGAGGCAACTCCAGATACAAGTGTACCCTGTAGATCTTATCACCATGAGACTCATAATTTGCTGCCTGACCACTGAAGACTACAATTGAACGGCCAACAAGCAACCAAATCCATCGTATCACGGTTGAGCAGCAGCTCCGAATCTAATTAGCTACATGTGCCTCCTTATCGCTGGATGCCCTGCTCTCAGCTTCGTTTCAAGCCAACTTCTGCAGAATCTTCCTCAGAATAGTTATGGCCAACTTAAGAATCGATTCAAGTCAGATGATGTCCATGAATCAACGAGTACACGACTTTGGCTCAGCACTCGGCACTGCGGTGCGCGGCACAGTTTTCAACGTCGGAGACAGGAAAGTGGAACACAAAAAAAAAATTAACAATCGATGATGACGTAGCAGAAAACATCTGAGAAGGGTCAACTGATCATTCTAAGCACACCTCTCTGGAGTTGTTGCAGGTCGAGAAGCACCTCTATTCGAGCAATCAGCTGCGTTGATCGAACCTGACGACCAGTTTCGCTTCTTATACATGAGGGGTCCCTGTGCCCCAAACAGGTAGAAGTGCCTCTGCAGCTGCTTTCGCTTGCGAGAAGATTCAGCATCTGAATTACCAGATCCTGCGATCGATCATCCATACTCGTCGGCAACGACGTGGGCAACTTGGAGGTGGGCGGAAACATTTCGGTGACGCTGGGTTATTCCATCAGACCAACACGCGTGCACTCGTCGAACAATTAGTGACTCTTCACCACATCCATGATCTTACAAACCAAACGGCAACACCATTTCTGCTTCCATCACACTGGAGCCGAAAATATGCTCGGCCTGTTACGTGTCCATGTGTTTTATGTGTACAGCACCGTTCTTCATATGATAATCAATTTTGCTGCTGTGCAATGCAGTGGCCCCAACTCGATCCATTCGACACATCTGATTCGAATTCGTTGGGTCGCACACCACACTGTTCTCATCTCCTTCGTTAACATTCCATGACGCAGATCACGCAACCTGCTTCCATTTTGAAACCAACACATGTTCAATTTCAATCGACGACGCTTGATAGTGCGAATTAACCTCTGTCAGATTTCAGACGACGAAGCCTCACCGACTGCGACCACCGCCATGAAGTAGCATCAGCGTTTCCAGCCACCGACGAGGCCAATCCGTCCCATCGTCCACAAGCGCCAGGTCGAGCCCCATTGACGCGAATCTCTTCATTTGCTAAAAATAGCAACTCAAAAGGACTCTTCTCCACTTTAGCCAGCACCGCAAAATAGTTTTTAATCCCTTCCTACTGCCGCCAGAAATACGAATCTAGCTCCCCTCGGGATCTCTCATCGACCCAGCACGTAATCCGTCCGAAGCCGTGATCTGGGCTTTCGCTCCCCGCAAGAGCCAGCCAGACAAAACCCACAATTCCTAAACTCCGTCCCGGTGCAATGTCTCCAAGAAGCCCTTCCTGAGCCGCATTCGATGCTCCATTGACCCCACTTTCGGGCGCAATCAACACGCACACACGCTCAGGCTCTCGCAGAGGCGAAGAGACAGAGAGACAAGTGGAAAGTAAAAAGCAAGCGATGCTCCGTAAGCACCACACCAAACCCTAATTTGGCCTTCACGCGCTCCCTTTATAAGTGAAGTGCATGGGGGAACGGGGAACGAGGAACATTGAACCTGGACAGTATCTGGCCCTTGGGGATATGGATCCTCCCAGGGCTTAATATTATTCTTATTCTATTTAACCTTTTTATTACTTTTTAACGTATTCTTATTTGTTATTATTCTTGTTTTATTTAATACTTAGATTCAGGGACTGGGTTTCGTGCTGACGTGGCCACCGCTTTCCCAGCTGAAATGCGCCACTTGGGGGCGTGGAAATTCTTCACCTTCGATTTGATTTTTCTTTTTTTCTTACTTTTTTTACATTTTTTTTTTTTTTTTTTTTAAGAAGGGGATTTGGTTATGTAATGAGACTTTTAGGTTAAGAATGCCCCTCTGGAGGTGCTTTTGAGTTGACTGCGTGTGTTTGTTTTAGTTTGTGGGTTTGCTATTCGGCATCGTTTTGGGGGTGGCCTCAACTGGAGCTAAAAATAGGGTTTGGCTTTAGATGAAGGGCCAGGTCATTGAACCTGGTCTTGATTCTGCTGGGGTGGGGGAATACACAATTGGGTAGCGTTTTGAAGAGTGTTTTGCGGCTTCTTATAATTAAAAAATAATAATAATAAGTATGTGTAAATATAGTTGATAGAGAATGAGGGAATTCAACACAAAGTAAATTGGGCATCATTGAAAAAAGAAAAGGGGAAAAAAAGGGAGAAGAAGAAGAAAAAAAAAAAAAAAAAAAAAAAAAACGGAGAAAGAAAATGAGAAAGAAGAATGCATGTTGCTTTTTTCGTGCCAGTAATGTATGTCTCTATGAAACAATTTTGATTTTAGGTAGAAAACATGTTAAGGCTTATTAGAACATTTCAACAAGATTTCTATAAGAAAGTAGAAAAAATGTTGTTTAACAAATTACCATAAAATTTTCTGATAAAGAAAAAAAAAAGAAAAAAAAATCAAACAAAGAAAAGAAAATTGTAAGAAATGTTTACGGAAGTAAATCAAATTTTTTGTGGACTTTTTCAAGTAATAATCATTAGAAAAAATGAAAAATAAAGTGGGGATTACCTTTTCTAATTGAGATCCATTTAACATTTAATGATTATTATTATAAAATTCAATAAGAAAAATAGATAGAAAGCATGTAGGTAAGTGATCCAAGCACTATCTGAATCATTCGAACAAAATAATTAGGAAAAAAGTAATATATATATATATATATATATATATATATGTATATATTAGGTAAAATATCTGGATTTAAATTTTTTAACAAAATTGACAGAGATATATGCATAGAATAATGGTAATAATAAAATTATAAAATAGAAAATATCTTATATTTAGAAATATTATACATGTTTAAAAAGTTGAAAGTAAAAGAATTGAAATATGAAATAATATTTATTTATTTTTGGATCCTATTTATACAAACTGCAAGATTAGTAATTCATATAACTATGCATTGTCATAAAATGATGAATTTAAATAAAAATAAATAAATAAATAATTGAAACAATTTCTAAATTATAAATGGAGATGATAAAGAAGATAATAAATCAACTATGTTTTTACAATTTCAAAATAAAAATATTATTATTTATAAGTCTTAAAGGAAGACAAAGAAGAAAAATCCAATAATCCCTACATAATTATTAGACGTTTATTAAATACAAATTTAAAGCTAAAAAATATGAATCAATAAATAGATAAAATATAGATCTAATAATATTTTTGAGTATATTACATATAATTTAGAAGCACTTTGAAATCCTACACAAAATTATAATTAATATAAAATCTATACTTTATAACAAGATCAAAATCATTCATTAATTGTCTCACTTAGGATTGTATTGCAATATTTTATAGATTTTTAAGCTTAGCAATCAATTTGTCAAAGACAAGAACTTGATGAAAAATTAATTCAGACAAGTAAGCTTTCACTCAAAGAAAGGTAACAAAATATAAATAAACAAGTATGTATATTGAAATAGAAACTAGAATGGCTATTGTCAAAAGACAAGAAAACTAGAGATCCTTGAAACTAGACTAGAAGCAAGAAAGGAGTTAACAAGAGTGAAGAAGGCTTCACTCTTGTCTCTATATATACTATCTAACTAGGGACTACGTGGCGACGTTCTATTGGACCTCCAGTATGTGTTGACTTTGTAGGACACATGCCTTGACTTACAAGGCAAGTTTTTCTACGTGTGGGCCACATAGTTAGCTTGATCTTCAAGCTAACAACATGTGTGGCACATGGCCAACTTGTTGACCACGTTTCTGATCCAAAAAGTCAATTAAAGACACCTATGAAGTCAAAGCAGCATCTATGAAGCTTCTAGGAAGCTTTCATATTAAATATTATAGAATTAACTTACTTTTACCTACTTTTACTTACTTCCACCTATTTGTATATGTAATTACTAGCTTACATGAGTATGTCAGTGACACATCTTTGATACAAAGTACTAGATATATATAATTTAATTTACAACAAAAGTTTTTAAAAAACGAGCATTCTCTAGTAGAGTTGATAAGTAATCATCTTTAAAGTTAATAAGGTGTTTAAGAACTAAAACATACAAATTCATAAGCATTTCAAGTTCACCAAATGTGCTAAATTATTTTTATTGGATTTGATTGATACAAATCTATAACAAATGATGGTACATGTGGTCTAACAGAATCATAACTTAAAAATTCCAACAAGCTAAATTTATAATTAAATTTCTAAATAAAACTTTAAAAAATCAAATTATAAGCTTTAAATATAAGATAGTTTTAGTGAATTTGATATTAAGAAAAATCTTGAAATGTTGGTTTAAAACTTAGCAATGTTATTCCATTTTTTTCTTTTTTTTTATACATAAAATTTGTATTTGGTTGTAAACAAACAAACAAACTTTCTAAGTAGAAATACATTTTAAACAACTCATGAGTTAGAATAGTTTTTTTATTCTTTTTTTATTCTTTTTTTAAATAATAAATACACGTTTTAAATGGGCAAATGGTATTGGTGATCCAATTTAAAATATAGAGATTTTGGAGCTAGAATACATATATGTATACCTAATTTTTTAAGGACTCAAAAAATATATTACAAAGATTAGACATAAAAAGGTAGAGCATATGCCATTACATTACATTTTTCAACTTTAAAAAATGTATTTTGAAGCACATCGAACAGTACATAAAATTAATACATTTTTATGTATTTATAACATTGAGGAACTTGGTAGTGATATGAATTGCTTTCTAATTCTTACAAAGAGTAGTATGAAAAGGATCTAATTCACATCTTTAAATTTCTATAATGAAGCAATAAGACTTTAATAAATTGTTGTATTATTTTGTAGTAATTTTTTTTATGATGGACATACTTATGGTTGAAATGCCCCAAAAAGTTATTAGAAAGTTTCTTCTTCTCTATTAGATCCTACCAAGCCCAACAATCTTACTTATCATCATTAATTACTACATTATTATATTTAAGGAATAAAATTGCTTTTAAGAGAGACCAATAACTTTCATTGGTGAGCTTTTTGTAAAGATTGTGTTGGAAGTGTTAGTTTAGGCTTTTAATAATGATTTGCAACTTCAAGTTGGAGGAGTTTTGACAATTCTCAAGAACTTATTTCTGAAAAAAATACAAGATATAGTAGCTTATTAGAAACTATTTAAGGACAATATTCCTATGACAAGTTTAAATCAAACCAACAATACGACTAGGTACATTTTGGCTAATAATCAAGCAATATCATCATGAATTATTGAACAAAAATTAAAAGTCTATTAGTAGTAATACATAAGTTAGTTTAGGTGTTTTAAGTTGAATTTTTTAAAATATGAAAAGTTGTAAGTTGATTAGGTGTTGATAATGTATTTATGTTTTTTGCATTAACTTAGTATTTACTGGACTTTTCAAGATTTTGAAATTACCAAGTCAAGACTTGCAACCAAAACATCAAACCATTGATGGCGTGATTATTCGTTAAACATGGTGTTATTTCAACTTGGTATATTTTCATTGTTACTTCTAGCTACATTGTTGATTGATTATAGATGTTTAAGCAGTTCAGAGATGTTGTGAGGTGTATAATTTATTCACATTACTAGCTAAATTAGACTAGTTAAGCTTTTAAATTGACCATAACTTGTTAAGCTTTTAAATTGACCATAATAATCTCCTGGCAAGCAAAATTTTTGAGAAATTGATCGGTGCAAGTGAAATGAAAGGTATGCTTAACTGGGCGACGATTTTTTCCTGATACTATTTGGTGATCAAGTTCCATTGCAAATTAGGGCTCTCCAGGTTTCTTACTTTAAGGTCTTTCTGAGAATATTCGCAAAAGTTAGTTAATTTGTCATAATAAACTGTTCATAGCTACAGAAGGTGCTTGCAGAAATCTTGTGCTGAAATGAATTCATGTCCACCTTGATCCGCAATTGACTGCGTCTCTTGAAAACCGGAGTTGAGGATGCACAAAAATCATGCACCTCAGACGTTCACTGTTTGAGTATGTGATACTCACATGCATTCAAATCGATCTACAAACACACCATCAGGATGCTTCGTAGAATGTATCATACCAGAATCTAAAGCCGCAGCAGGGGCGAGAATATCCGGGATTACAATTCTGACTTCACATTTTGGCAGAGTGCCTAATTCCTCTTGGCCTCAAACTTGTTTGAATGCAGAGGTAGCAAACTGCCGGACAGTGGCTACATGCTCTATAATTAAATAGAATCATTTCTCCAGAATTAAAGTCAATAATAGGTGTTAGTATGTGATAGATCTAATCTGGAGAGGACTTTGGAAAACTTATTTAATCTGTAGAACATAAATCTAACAAGAAAAATTTCAGAGAGTATAGCCTCTGATGAATGGTCATTTCGAGAGACGACTTCGGTTCAACGTGTTATCAGAAAAAACTTAAATGTCGTCACTTTCATAGTAGCACTATGCTAATATGTTCAGTAGAAATCTCAACTGCACGAAAAATCATCCATGTCATTGAGCTGCTTGGCCGGAAAAATTACACACCATGCAAAACACATTATGGACCAGTTCTTGTTAAATCAAAACACAAACGGTTCAGAATAAACCAGGCCGGCAAGAAAAAAGGTGTACTTGGGTTACAACCTTTAAATCAAGCAACATCGGGCAAGAGATGCTGAGCTCTTAACTTGGAACAGCGCCGTTGCTCGTAGTTTTGACAGCAGAGTTGCCATTCTCAAGAGATTGATTTGCAGTTGCAAGTGCTGCCAAACCTTCATCTTCACCAATTGGAAGTTTTTTGTGTGTATATTGCACCCCCTTATCTCCATTAACAAGCTGACCACTACCTCTGAGCAACCTGCAAGTACAAAATTTAATGGGTGAGAGAGATGGCTACACGGCTCAATTGACGGTTGGATTTTAATCACAAGTCTCAGCATAATAGACAAGTAAAATACTTCTCTTCAGCTTTAAAATCAAAATAACTTATTAAGTGAAAAGAATAAAATAGAAATGAAGAGATAAGTGTTCATATACCATCTGGTAGTTAGAAGACCTTCGACTCCTACAGGCCCACGTGCATGAATCCTGCCTGTGCTTATTCCCACCTGCATTTAATAAAACGATCATTTTAGATGCCTTAAGAAAGGAAGTTCTGATTGCTACAAAACGAGTCAAAAAAATGGTTCTATCCTGCTGAAAATTCTATCTAACCCAGAATCTTTATCATAATCTAAACAAAACTATGTATGCAGTACTTATATGCGTGTCAAACATGCTGGAGCATGACCATTGAAGACACCAAAATAAGAAAAAAAAATTACACAGCCATGCCATGAGGAGGTATAAAAAGTCGAAAGTTACATGTTCCACCATCAATGCACGTAGGAAAGAAGTATACGCACCTCAGCACCAAGCCCAAAACGAGCACCATCAGAAAAGCGGGTACTGGCATTATGAAATACAGCGGCACTGCAAATGAAGCAAGCAGTATTATTTAATGTTACAACAATGACAGCCTGAATACAATACGAACAGTATTACAAGCAAAAGAGAGAGCGCAATGAAGGTATTCGGTCCATGTTCCAGAGAAGGATACTCGCAAAGAAGACATTGAAGAGAATTAGGTGTTCTGTCAACAAAGTGCGCATACTTCACTGGATACACGTATTTACGTACACCTAAATAGAAACTACATACTCAACTACAGCGAGGAACGCGATGAAAACATTGAAGGAAGCCGGCCTCTTGTGAAAGAAAGGATTTACGAAAAGATATAAATTTGCAAAACTTGAACCAGTAAAGTTAATCCGACCAATGCAAAAACCAATAAGGACAGTGATGCTTGTTAAGGTTCTAGTCAAGACCTGTCCACATGATGAAGAAAGGTCTCTGCGGTAATATGATTTTCGGTCACTATGCAGTCCGTGTGCGCGCTGCATACAACCGCCCGTTTACGTGAAATCAAAAGACGTAACAGAGGGAATCTTCTGTTTCAATATTCAAGATAAACAACAGAGACGATTCTTACAGCACCAGCGTTCCCAGGCAGTTCATACCTGCCATGTTCATGGATGTGATCAATGGCTTCCTGAACATCTTTAACAACTTCGACAGTACAAGACAATGCACTGTATTCAATGTGGTAGCTGGATGCTCTTGGAAGCTTCAATATTCCGGATGCTCTTGCCCCCCCATATAAGGTCACACCTATAATACAATCGGAGAAGCCAGGTCAAAAACATTTAACGTAAGGCGATTTGGAAAGAATTAACAGAAATACTCGTAAGATTTTTGAACTTCAGCTATAAGTGTTGAAAAGAAGGCGTGATCACTAACCAGCACTCTGTAAAGCAAAAGCTAGCATTTCCAAACCACCAGTTGCAACCAAATCTTCATGGACAAGCAATGTTTCCTGTTAAAACAACCACCAAGCAACAATCGGTAATCGTTCATTTGGACATTCTTTAAACTTGGAAAGGGTGGTACACTCAAGCACATTGAAAAAAATATTCATGTTACATCCACATCAATCCCCTAATCTGAATCAATCCAAACAGCGTTGCCCCATGGGAGTCACACAATGAATAAATTGAAAGGCTAACTCATAACCACAGCATACCAGAGCGTTGCATGCAGCTGGATAGTCTACTTTTGAGTCAATCACGATATTCTTGGCTTTCTCTAGATCAGCAGCCGTATCAACATAGACATGGCAGACTCCGTCTGCATTCCGAGAATTAGTAAAAGGCAAAACATCACCTAGACATCAAAACGCCACTACACTGAAGAAAGATGTGCAAAACCTCTAACTCGTCATTGCTGAACAATAATAGTGAAGTAATTTTACATCCAAATAATATATGTATCACAACGAGCTCTACATCTATCAAATTCGGCTTATCAAAGCCATTAGGCAACTTCCGCTCTGGAGAGTGACTTGTGACTCACCTGCATGACCAAGAACAGGAATCTTCGTGGTTGCCTTGATCTGCGCAACTAGCTTGTTGCTTCCACGTGGTATGACCAAGTCAATGACGTCATCCAACTGTTGAATATATACAGCAGAATTAGTTTTCAAAAAACATTTACGTCTATTAGCAAGCCTTGCTACCTCCAGTCATTACTCATACCCTGAGTTTTTCATATTAAGAGAAACACAAACCGAATGACTGGAAGTAGCAACTTGGTCGAAGAGTCAAAAAATGCAAGACAAAACAAAACAAAAAATTAAAAAAAATTAAAAATTAAAAGCATACATTCGATAAGCGACTGTGGGAAAGTGGGTATACCTTAAGAAGGTCCGGAATCTCATCCCGAGAAGTGACCAAACCGATAAGATTAGGACCAACGGACTTGGGCAATGCTTCGGTGATAACCTACACAAGTTGAAAGATTGGTACATCAAAACCCAGACTTCAAAACAATTTCAACCAGAATTGCAGAATGTACAGTTGTTCTTACAGAAATGTTTGTCAGTACATACCTTATGTAGGATAGCATTCGATCGTGCTGCTTCCTTCCCGCCCTTCAGCAAAAGCCCGTTCCCACTACGAATTGCTAGAGATGCTATCTGATGCATAAGTCGCACTTCAGTAGTGAAACAATTTGACGACATTGAGCATATACTGTAAAACATAATAATGAGTAAGCGCAAAGATCTACAATTGCAAAGGAACGTTAAGCCGTATGGCAGGGCACACTGCGCAGGATCTCGACAGTACCTGAACTAGGGCATCAGGGCGAGACTCGAACACAACCAAAACAACTCCTAAAGGACAAGATGTCTTCTCCAGAGTAAGTCCTTCAGCAACCTATTTTGCAATCAACACATGGTTAGATACAAGTGATGCAAGATTTTAATATCCTTGACATTCAAGAGCCACTCCACCTCGTCTCAGAGCACTCTACACTAGTCAAAAGAATTCACATAATTTCTGATGATTTCTTCAGAATTATTCTAAGTTACAGTAGTATGCAGTCCTCGTAAATAAACCGACATTGTAAGTCTGTAATATATTCTTCGTGAGTTGAATTGAATTGTTTCTTTCTTGCAAATGAAGAATAAAGCTTTTTAGATGAGAAGAGAAGTTCCAGAATATCCCTCCTAGCAATGTTAAGTTGTTTCCCATTAGCATTCTCCTTACCTCCGTGCGCTTCAACACTTCCCCGATGGGCTCTTTCATGTCTGCAAGTGTCCGGAGAGAACTGGCAAGTGCGGCAATCTGTGTAGACATGAACAAACCAACTAAAAGAAAATCCAAGAATTCGCACGTTTGCAGTTCATAAAATAGAGGCAGAAAATCAAAAGCAATGCTCGCATGCACAATATGGAGTCAGGTAAAGGATTGATTGGCAAAATATTCTTATCAATTAATGACAGTATTGATAATATTCTTCAAAATAACAAGGTAAGAAATAACGAAGGCTTACTTTCCCAGGTTTGATAGTGAGACGGCCAACCAAAGCCTTCGACACGCCAGTCATTTGGGCAAGCTCCACATCAGCATCATTCTCCGCCTTAATAATGGCTTCATTGGCTAGCAAGGCATCTGCTACCGCATGTAAAATTGATTTCCTCTCCTCGGAGGTAAGGCCCTGTTAATTCCATACGCCAAATCAAAATACAAATTCAGTAAGATTTGCCCTAATGACTTACCAACATTAGAAAAGCTTCAGCTACATTTCAATTTCGGGGAAAAAAAGAGACCTCACAGTGCGCTAATAAGTAATAATAGTTTAGCCTACAAATTAATTGAGCCATCAGAGGGGCTTGTCAAACAACCCACATTTTCTTGTGCGAGTACTTATATCCGTCTGGTTGTAGGATTCATGATATAGTTCATGCCCGATCATCGAGCTGTTACGCTTTCCATATCCCATGTTAGAGCAGTCATATACCACCGACTTTCTGTGAAATTTGCTGAACTAGTGTACACTTTTCAGCCTAGAAAGTTAACAATTACATAAATCTACTGTGTGTACTAAAATTCATTAACAAAATTGGTGCTTTACGAAAGTTGAGTCCTTTTCATAGCCTTCCAAGAGGGTGTGATAAAGATCGAGTCATGTGCAAACCTGCAAGCGGCGACTGCCCTCCCTAGCAGCAACAGCCATATTTCTGGCACCTGTTTCTTTCAGATCAACCCACTGATGTGCATCTCGATGAAAGAGGGTACCAACGTGGTCTCCTCGCATAACCCGCTGCAAGCCATCCGCAACGCACCCACTTCCTTCCCAAGGCGAACACTGTTAGTTGCGAGGTTGTTGAATATTGCAAGAGAGCTTAAAATGAAGAATATGAGTGCTTCATTTCTGGGCTAAACTGAGAATTATGAGCGTCGAGTGAAAACCTTGAAATGACAACGGGAATTCCAGCTGAAGCAGCTTGCCAGGCAGCATACACCTTCGCAGTCATTCCGCCTCTACCCACCCTCGATTTCTCACCGAACGTGACCATATCATCGTGTTTCTCCTTCAGATACGTGTGAATAAGCTGAGACTTGGGTTCGCTAGGAGGACCCGTGTAGAGGCCTTCCACATCACTTAATAAAATAAGAAGATCAGCTTGTAATTCCAGTGCGAGAAGAGCCGCCAACGAATCATTATCCCAAAAGATGCCTGTCGAATCCTGAAAGAATAATTACCAAAGATGTCACATTTTCAGTTCTTATTGGTTGGACAAAGGACACTAATTTTTGGTTTCTGCAATTAATGAATTGAATTGTAATTCGGGACATTTAATTTCCGAATCTCAACACTCATCTGTAAAACAGAATGAGAGAAAAGAATAGAAGTAGACTTTCGAAGAGAGACGTACAATATGATCTCCTTACACTACCACAGATTTAGAGAATTGGTTGGAAATTGTACTAGAAGTCTTGCCAGCAGGTATTTCAACAAGCTTTTAATCCCAAAAGTCTAGTTCTTGGTTGTAACCCATATGTTTGAAAAAATATGACCATTCACAACCGACATTGCATTGAATCAAAACCCGAGGTTTGAAACCAGACAGAAGTACTTCACCAGGGTAATTAGGACTTGAAATTAGAATAAGAGGAAGATATCCTTGGTAACAGAATGGGAAGCATGTAACAAATTGAATAACTCAAGATGAATTTCTCAAGAAGCTGAGTCATCAAAAAGAAAGAGGGAAGTTAACATAGTGGTGAATACGCTGACAAACAGCCCATACACTCATTGGATGATTCCAGGAGAAGTACATTCAAACTGAATTTCGCCGTACCATTCAAAAAGTGAAGAGAAATACGTACAAAATAAGGCGACTTCCTCGTGCTGATTGCATCGTTCTCATTAAATATGGGAACAACACGCAGCGCTAAGAGAGAGTTAACTGTTTCAGACAATTGCTGCCGGAATTCAGGGTCCTTGAAGTCATTATCCGTCACGAGAAGTTGTGAAGATGCTACGTCCAACTGAATATACATAACAACAGTCAAAAAGGGAGTGCAAGGAAGAAGAGAAGAGAGAAAAAAGTAACCCGAATTCAAGTTCAAAAATCACAATCCACCCGTGCAAAGCATGTGTCGCTTGGGATCTCTTAGAAAATTTCCTCAATTCATCTGCCTTGACCTCAAGGCATACTACATTTCTGCGACGTTATCAGCACACAAGCGTGCAAGATGTGAAATAAAGTACCTGGCTGAACAAACTGTCATACAGAGCCATAAGTCCGCTTTGACCCACTGCTGCACAAGGTTTCCCATCCAGTTCCACTTGAGGTTTTTGCAAATCTACAAAACTGCGACATTTTCATGAAGGTAAGGAACTGCCAATCCCCGAGTCAATTATCGATCCTAAAATTTTCCCTCTTCTTCCTAGCAATACCCAGATGTCGGACAACTCCATGATACAAGCAGACAGAAGGAGGTAGACACAACAAAGGCAGGTCGACATTTGGAGCAATATGTTCATTGTGCAAGGGCACATGACTCGCCTGGAGTTCATCATTCTCTGGTGTCTCAATTTCTGTCTGCCCACGCCGACCGCACCAGAGGTGACAAAGATAACCTCAATGCCATCAGTTATAAGTTCCTTCACCTGATTCCAAAGACGAGCAATGTTGCACACAAACTATGAGTCATTTTGCGTGCAAAACCAGGAGCTTTGATTTGGAGGTTGATCACTCTAACCGAGAAGAATTCAAGGCCTCTCAAAATGCTCTACAATTGGGGGACTCCAGAACGAAGCCCAGCACTCAAACTAATCTCAGAGCTCGGCCTTCCAAGTACGATCTCTCGAGACAACTCACGGGAGAGGGAGGAGAGCACGGAAACAAAGAAAATCAGCGTTCAAAGACAGAGAGTGAGCCCCCACCTGTTCGCAAATAGCGCCGAGCCTGCCAAGGGCAAGCCTCCCGTCATGTCGAGTTACAACCGCCGTTCCGATCTGCGTACACAAACGGAGTACGGTATTCAGCTCTAAACCCCTATGTAAACCCCTGAGGAATCCAGAGGAGCACCAAGTACAACTCCGCCCTTTACCTTAATTACGACTCTTTTGGCGTCTCTAATGAATATCCGCGACCTGTCCATTGTGATGCAATTGAGCAAAGCAGCGTTGCTGCAGATGCATAGCCACAGAGCAAGCGCTGGACTCTGCAACGGTGCTGGGCGGCTCAACCTTCCTAACCCTAGAGCAAAGCTCTGCTGCTTTAAGCAGGGCTAGTGAATATTTGTCAGCTCCTTCATTCATCTATCTCGACGTCGTGTCATTTCATTCATCCTCCCGTCGTAATCTGTCCATCTACAATCTTGTCATTCGTTTCTGTGTTTGTCATCCTCTGTTCATCCCTTGATGTCAGGATGTCCCACAGTGATCGTGAGGCTGCAGTAATGAGGATGCTGACTGGGCCCAGTAGGGTTATATCTTAGATTCATTCTCGGTTCTAGTTAATTCCTCCTCCCCATCGAAAACTGAGACAGAGGTCCCTCTGCCATGAATTATGCCTTGAACCGCTTTATTTTACAGAAAATGGGCAGCTGTTGAAGGGATAACGTCAAGAGTTTGATTATTGTTAAATGATGAGTGTTCACTTCATTGCAGTGTATTTAGCTTTGGAAGGATAAACAAGCAAGAAATTAATGAACATGGATTGTCCATAAGCCCTCTGAACGTTTTTCTTCACTTTCTTCTTCTGGTTCATCATTTTTACACTGTCCAATGATTTGTTGATCACATTTTACACTGTACAATGATTTGCTGCTTGACTAAAAGAAAAATAAAATATAATGTAATATAAAGGAATACGAACATTAGGTTTTTTGTACTAAACCTATTATTATTATTATTATTATTATTAGCTAAGGTATGGGAAAAAAAATTAATCAATGATTTCGTTTAGTAGGATGTGAACTCATCCAAAACCCAGATTTACTGTAAAGATTGCTACTACGAAATCATACACGATTGCAATCGTAATTTTTTTTTTTTTTTTTTTTTTTTTTTTTTAAAGCTTCGTTGACTTTATTTTACAGCACAAGTTCAAAAAAAAAGCAGCACTGAAACATTGTGTGTTGCTTGAGAAGTGGAATAAGAATCACCATTAAAATGAGCGTTTCCTCTGTCAAGGGGGAAACTTCTGAAGGCTTCTGGAAGGGCTGACACAAACCCAGTACATTATAAGAACGTAACACCCTTCATAACACCCTTCTCATTATAATTCAGTTTTGGTACTACCCCAGAATCAGAGCCAAAATCCGAGCCAACTGGTTTTCCAGCCACGTCACATTATCCGCGGGTCCCAACCACTCACATATCGACTCGTGTCGGTACCGCATCCAAGCTATGTGGGAAAAGGGTTCCGGTGAAGCTTGGTTGGCCCTTAAGGAATGGGAGGCTCAAATGGCTTGGGAAAGGGGGGATGAGAATGAGGAGGAGGAGTGGCTATTACTTGATGGGTCACCTGCAGGGGTCTCAAGTGGACGTACCAAAATCATGTAAAATGAATTCAATCAGTAGGCCCCCTCCTCATCTCTGCCTGCCACGGGCTTGTGGTGCTCGTTGCTTCTGTACCACGATGCTGTGTGCCAGCCACACACACATGTCACCTGACAACTGAGGATCACACCGTGCATGAGATCAAGCACCCCCTTGAGGACAATGAGGCTCTCTCAATGCTGCTGCTGCTTCTAACCCACTTCATTAATCCAAAGACCAGCAGCAAGCAAGCAAGCAAGCCTTCACTTTGTGTGCTCTCGCTCCAAACTCACTTGCAACGGTTCCCAACTAACCTAGTCATGCCGAGAGAAGACCTGGTCTGAATGTGCCTCGAGACTGTACCCAAATACGATCCTGAGATACGACAAAAGGATCAAGATAAAAGGTTGGGATTGGTCGCCTCTCGCGTGGAGCTTCGTTTTTTTTTTTTTTTTTTTTTTTTTTTTTTTTCCTGCGTCCACAAGAACTGCAGTACAAAGCTATAGCGTAAATCACAGATCACGCGGCTCTGGATTCTGCGGGTTTTTATTGCAGCACACTTGACTGTACAATATGGAATCAAAATAAGGAAAATAAATAAATAAATAAATAAATAGATTCTACAAACCTGTAGTACAGCGTGGTTCATGTCCAGTAGCTCGGAGGAACCCAGTTGCATGTGGTAAAGCATGGAGACTTTCAATGCCTCAAATCTCAGACCACCTTATCCCTTTTTCTGAAAGTGACACAGCCGCCAGGGGCTACATCCAAAAAGGGCGGCATAATTCTATGAACAACTTTTGCGGAAACGGCATTGTAAATGCCAAGGAAACAAGTGGTGGAATGGAAATTGTACACAGGCTGAGGCAATCCAGTTCGCAATCATCGAAAGCTAAAATAGGAGCCTGTTGGGAAGTTGACGACACTGAACTCACAGTATTTCAAACTTGATGGATTTGATATGAACGTGGAAAACATATTATAGGCCGTCGTTGGGAACATACGAAGTAAATGAAGAAATTGTTATTAAACAAACCATCTCAGGATCGTATTTGGGTACAAACTGAAACGGCATGTCCACGCTATTCTAAGCTTATGATTACAACTAATCCCTGTACTGCACCCCTTGGGCTTACCGAGAAGCCTTCTCACGTTTTGTGCTCTGCCGTCTTTAGCTACTGTTCTACACTCAACGTTTTGAGCCAGTATGACCTTTACACAATAGTACATGAAGCTCGACAATCAACACGCTACTCTAGCAACTAATATCCAATTATAATACCTTCTCGAAAACTTCCCTGTCCTTCAAGAGCCTGAGATTCTCGGTTCCTCACATAGTCCGCTCAAACGTACTACTCAGGTTAGTCCTCCGTTTTGAAGTTTGTAGCTGTTAGAAGGTGGCGAATGTACAACATTCTACGATAACTGCTTGGGCACAAATGTAATGTCAGCATGCTCGGTCAGCCAATCCAGAACTTTTGAGCCTTCTAAAAGCTCCCGTGCCTGCACATGACCGCCAACAAATACACACAAATGTGTTACGATTTTACAAAAATCATGCAAACATGGTGAGGACTACTCAGACCAACGAATGTGAAGTGCAGGCAAAAGATGCAGTGGCAGTTCAACTTTGAAGTTCAAAGAAAGGCCTGACTAGGCCTGATAACAAAATCTTGCGGCTAATCGACCACAAAAATCTGTGTCATAAGCTCCTCATCTCGATCTCAACCCAAAACATAGATTCGGGATGCTTCAATAACCTCGGCCTAATAAATACATGTGGTATCAGGGATATTAATTCAATTACCTGCTCTCGTACACGAGCGTCATCATATTCCTGGTCATACCGCTTGAATTCTTCTATGGCACTGTTAACCTCCATGTCAAGTTCCTCATCTGAAATCTTTAAATTCTCTTGCTTATAAATTTCTGCCACAGCAAGACTCTGCTTCACAGAGTCTGAAATCCTTGATCTCTGTGCGTCTAAGTAGTTTTGAACCATCTCAGCGCTTGATAATGCCACTAACTGATCTCTTGGTAGCTTCATACTCGCCTGCAAATAACAAGCAGTTCAGAGCCAAAGCATAGGATACCTATGTTAGATACCTGGCTCGAAAGGCTTCAAAAAGATTTCGAACAAGGTTCAGGAACTGCATATTTTTTTCAATACATCAGATGTTGAGGTGATTTGAAGCAGGAACACAGTGATGAACTTATCATCTTAAAATACATTAGTGTGAGTCAAAGTGCATACCTGCAGTTCAATCAACTTGGCAGCATACATTTGACGACCTTGTTCCTCCAGCAATGAATTCGGGATTTCTACGTCCACAACCTAGCCAACAAAGATTGAAATTTGCTTACTTTTTGAGGTAAATACACACCAGTGCTGATCATTCAATTCGAATATTACATATAAAACTTGAGTATGACGCCAAGCATTTGAGCCCCTTAGATTAGCTGTTTGGAATTGGCTATCTTCTTATTCACACTATTGTTTCAATCAACAGCTCTTCATCGTGGAATTGAGTGCCACAAGATTGGGAGAAGAATATTCATAGTTACGAATTACCCTAGTAAGCGCATTGGCTACAGCAAATCGTGTTGCTTGCTTCTTAACCCTCTCAACTTGCTCCGCATGCTTTTTCAATAGTACTTCCTTAACCTGTTTCATAGTATAAGCACAGAATATGATTAAATATACGACACCGATACTACACATCACATCACAGAGAAAGTCACACGTCACCTCAATTAGAATCCGTAATAAAGGGTGGTTCTTCTATACAAACCTCAGGAATATTTGTGCAGTTCGCCACAAGCTGGGGGGCCAGTTCGTCACTAAGCTCTGGGATTTGTCGAGTAAAAAGTTCCTTGCCTTCAACCTACAAAAACATGATATGATTCTATTTAGAAACATATTACCAAACAACTGAAAAAGAGAAATCTCCAAAGAATGATTTTCTCTTAGCATAATTCCTTGCAATTGATAGCTGTTGATAGAGAGAGGTAACCAACATACACTAATGTAAGTGAAGCAACATCACACTTTTCAATAAGACAGTTAAACAGCTAAGAAGGTGAGAAGAATTCAATTTTTCATTGAATTGTTGAATGAATAATCATATATATTCAGATCAGATCATTACTAATGTGAAATAGATAAAAAAAGAAAAGAAGTTATTAACTGTAAAGCGAGCCTGCAATCCGCGAAGAGATTCCTGTTCCCACGTTTCAGGGAACGTGAGGTCAAAAGTCCTAGTCTCGCCAATCTGGATGCCAACCAAGGCTTCTACAAAGCCTGGTAAAAAGCTACCTCCTCCATCTGTATCAAGCTGGAAACCTACAATTGACAACCAGAGTTAATCAAACACTCTCAAGTTTAAAAAACATTTAGAGAAGGTTTTGGGCAAAAAAGTAAAAAAGAAAAAAAGGGAGAAGAAGAAACAGTGGACGAAGTTAAGATCAGACATGTGAACTTTTTCCAATTTAGATCATACTAGTAACTTCGTAATTGTTGAAAATTTACCCTTCTGTTTGCATGAGAAAATTTCGTCACCAGCAGTCCCATCTTCATTCAGTCGCGTTGCTGAAACATCAATTATGGCAACATCACCCATCTAATACACAAAACGTCAATATCAGTGCATCACAACCAGATGAAGTAGCATTGCGTACATCAAAAATGGCATTCTTCTATCTAATAAATAAAATAATAATATCGCCAAATATCTGAAGCGTACCTCCATACCCCTCCCTGAAATAGCTTGGAGAGAGCCCAGGTCTTTTAGCCTCGATTGGAGCTCAGCATCAGCTGCTTTACGGGCAGCTTCTGCTTCGTTTGCTTCACACTCTACCTTTACTTTGAGATTCTTGTATCCATTTTCTGGGTTCCATCTCACTTCCGGTGCCACATCTACTGCCAATTCGTAACTTTTCCATGCAAGGTTTTAGATTTACTACAGGTAGGGCTTATCAACATGATTCTTACATGAACATAATTCCTACAATGAATCCACGTATTCTGTCACAAATCGAATTTGTAGGGTCGAAGCTATGGCATTACTCATACTGCTGCCCTATGAACAATACTTGATACTACTTATTTGTCGTTCCTCAATGCTTCATCAACAAGGGCACTTTGGCAACACAAAGATGAACATAGTAATTGTAGTACGACAGTTGTTTTTAATTCTAGGTGAAAGAAAAATCAGTACCTCACGAGGTTAAGGCCTAATATGCTAGAACACCGTAAATGAAACCTTGAGGTTCGAGAAAGTCGTTCTAATAAAAAGACTTAAATGCATACCTTAAGGATTTCTCAGGGACAAAATCGTCTACCAAGTCGGAAAATTTAGTTAGAATATGCTCAGAATCCTTCAGTGACCTTCCAGCTACCTGCAGTTTCACGCTCATACAATATCAGTACCAAATCCTAAACCAATTATGGAATTTCAGTACTGTTTCCAAAATTTATCTACAAAAGGTATAATCTAGGAGTAAGATACTACAACTGACAGATTACTCCTCAACAATCTCCGTACCCATGCAAGACTACCATTGCAGAAAAAAACTACCAACAATTACCAAACATGAGACTGACGCGTTCACGAAGTTTGCTCAGCCTTTTCTGTGGAATGCATAATTTGATTTCATTGAGTTACACACGCACAGACAAAAAAAGAAAGCAAACAGGAGAGAGAGCGAGAGAGAGAGAGAGAGAGAGAGAGAGAGAGATGCATTATTCTAGTAGAAATAAAAGCGTGGCAGACAGTAAACAAAATTGTTCAAGCTAATACACCATGATGTTTATCAGCCCTTTGTCTTCTCGAAAATTTGTACTTCGATCACAACACCCAGTAAGCAAACCATCGGACTGGTCCTGTGAGTGGACTGCAATCAAGGGTGCAGGATTTTCACAACCGACGGATCCCCGTCAAGAATACATAACTGCATCTATTCTGGGGACTATGGCACACTTCAAAGACATATTTGCTTTCCAGGCGATAGACAGACAGCTTACAGAGGACATTGCTTCTGGAAGCGTCCGCTTGAGTACAGCTTCAACCGCAGACGAGCGGATTTGGTCTGCGCCGACATGGTCGATCAGTACAGATTCTGGGACATCCTTTCCAGATCGAAAGCCTGGAATCTGCAACCAAAGCAAAGCCATCAATTATAATTTGTGTCATTCAACCCTCGTCCTTCATGTCTGTACAGGCATTCTAATCCAACTAGTCTTGATGATTTCATTGTTCATGCTTTTCTTCAATTAATCAATAAATATAGGATCTTCCATGAAATCAAACCTTTCACAAGACGTAGAAGTGTCAGGCTACAGTTTCAAAAAAAAGCAGCCTTGAAATTTTCAGAAAGGTTGCTTACAATCTTATCAACACGCTTATACATAAAAGCCCGTCATACCTATACATGCTATGGTCTTACTTACAGGAAGAAGACTCACTTTAGCTTGCTTACTGAATTCCCTCAAAACTTGCTCATAGCAGTCTTTGCAAACGCTTGATGGAACCTGTACTTTCAACTGAACCTGTCACCGTCATAGAGCACCTCTTTAATAACAACAAAGCATCTCAATTGTATGAACAAAATAGCGTAAAATAGTTTTCACTATGTAACATTAGCAAATTGATAAGTTTTTGCTTATTTGAGCATATAAGACGGTGTCCCTAAGCACCATCCTAAATCTTATCCCTGTTAAGTTTTCTTGGCATGCTGACAGAAATTTCAAGTTGAAGAAACACTGGTCGCTTTCAGATTCAGAGGTTCTTGCTGTAAGCGAAGGGCCTCAAGTGCAAGAATGACGCTGAGTTCTAAAAAGGCTTAACACGTCCATCTCTTGTTCAACAATAGAAAAAATCATCATCCCAGTTACTTCAGCATTAAGTATCAAGTGTGACGAGCAGAAAAAATCGAAATACACGGATGCGTTACTAGAAAAAGTTGTTAAGAAGACCTTCCCTTATGTCATTTCGGAATTCAGCAGAAGGCAGCAAAAATATCAACCAGACCAAGAACCATGCTACCATTTCAAATTAGTTAACCGCTACTGAACCAGCTCCAAATCTCTAAACTTACACGGGGGTAGAAACAAGAACATGGAAGTAAAAGGGACCCTACGTTTCAGGAGGCTTCACAAGAAAGTTCGAAGGAATGGGTGTTCCAAATAGCATTTGCGGTCGTATGAGTAAAAGACGATGACAGATGTGGATGAAACACAGAGAGTGATACAGGCAGAAGAAAGAATGCAAGAGTAAAGGAGAGTGATATACCCTGGAGTGGTCTAATCCAGTTTCTTTGACATCCAGACCAAGCGATAAAGTACCAGTCTCCACTGCTACCTCACTTGCTCGCGCAACCATAGCCTCACCTCGACTCCTTCTCTGTTGCTGTTGTTGAAGGTGGGAGCAGGATGCTGACAGGTTGCATGCATTTCTAGCGCCCAAACGAAAATTTCTAGACTCCTGCACATGACATGCTGACACAGTATTGGAGGTCTGTTTTACCGTGTGATTAACTCTCCAAACGTCCAAATGAGACCAAGAGAAGTTTCAATTGTGAAGAGTTCTGATAAAATTGACAAGAGAGCCACCTGACGCGTACTGTTCACCTATTGAAGGAAATAACTCGACAAAGCATGATAATTCGCAAGTATCATAGAAACTACCAGTGAGGCGAAAAATGCCTAATTAACACATATTGACCCTATTCCATAAATCACAATCCAAGATTACGCAAGAGCGACACTGGTGACACCCACTAACATTGAGCCCTATACAACCGACACCGAGAGCTTCCGCATGCCTGATGTAGTGCGACGCTTCTGGGATAAAAATGCGTACTTAATCATGAGCTGAAATCTGAAATCAGAATACATAACCTACCTACAAGCACGCAGTTGTTGCGAGCTTTTGTAAAACATCAATCGCTACAATTTACTGTGAAATTGTAAAAATATTGTGAAATTCAACATAGAGTGTATCGCCTCCTTCTAAATAAGCAAGCCGATGATCGAGCAAAGCTAATAGGCAAATCCCATAATTCTCAAGATTCTCTCACATGCACGCTTCCGGAACCTTCACGATGAAGTTCATTACGGTCTTAACCAAGATGTTGAATCGTAAAATCCTTTCTCTTAGAAATTTGTGAAGTCTAAATTCAGACACAAAGTATGCGATAAGCAAGGCTCATTATGAAACACATACAAAAATCTTGAACACCCAAGTCAATCCAATCATGGGAGTCGAAGTCACAGTCAACTCTCTTTCCTTCCAGCACCAAAACACACCCAAGATGAACAAGAAAACGCACCTTAATCAGCTGAAGCTCGCTATGAGCACCAGGAAACGCAGAGCACGATGAGACAGGAACCGCGATGCGCACATGCTGAACCCAGGGCAATAGGTACGAATTTTGCTTAACGGACACAGAGAGATTACAAACAGTGTGGGCCTGAGCCACCGCCATCGCTACCGCTTCACAGCTTCAGGAAGAAACGCAAGAGCCTGACACTTCGCGTAGAGGTTACTGAGTCCCCTTATGTCAATGGCGAGGATGGATATTTGGGGTTTTGCGTTTGCATGGGGTTTGGGAAGCTAACGTGTGACAGCACAAGGGCGGCCATGTGGCGGTCACTTACCTGTAGTAACACTTTTTCTATTGTCAAGCCATCCACATCGCACGGTCCAGATCGCAAAAGAATTAAACGGAAATCATCTGCAACTGATAAACTGCGCCAAGAATTTTACAGAATTGTGCGTGTGTGTTTTTCTTTTTTGCTTTTTCTTTTAGGTTTCTTGTATTTTGGTTTGTTGACAAACCGAATCATAATGTACAGTATACAACATGTACAGATCCACATCAGCAATGGGTTGTAACCATAGGGGTGAAAAACTATGTATCAACAATTAACTAACTAGAACTGTGATATGTGCATCTTATGAGGAATTTCTGCGGCTATGGCGAGCAGACCGACGGCAGGAAGATGACAGAGATTGCCATTCTTCCATGTGATCGCTCGTCCTCTTAGAGAATCTCCACGGTTTGGACTTGCTGAATGACTGCGCTACGAAGTATTGGTTGTTAGGAAGGATGAACCGTTTCCTGGAGCTTACAAAAGAGACGTGAGCACTCACGGTAACGCACCATGCCGCTTGCCCAGCTCGCACAATCGCGGCGGGTACAACCCACTCCACGCTCGGCTTGAAGTCAAGACCATTGAAGTTGCCCTTCTCGTAATCTGGAGGCAGCATCGGCACTTTGGCTCCGGACCAGCCTCGGCTTGGGTTGTAGAGCTTGGGGTATTGCAAATCGCTGGATGGGCACCATAGGTTTAGCTTCCAGATGAAGCTCACACGTCCATTCGGCCCTCTTTCCCACTTGCATTTGTACATAGGTTGAGACGTTTGTTGAGATTTTGTGTTGGTCATGGTCACGGCTATGGAAGGGTTTCGGCAGATGTATCCTGTGATACCTACCTGCGCACATATTTCAATAATTAAAAAATAATAATCTGGGTGAGTTTGAAGTCTAGAGTGTGGGTTAGATCGTTTGTCGACATATGCGGAGCCTGTGGCGTGAAAGAGGAGATGATTTTAGTTTACCGCATTAGAGTTGCCGAAGTAGGCTGAAGCGTTTGAGGTTGGAGGAAACAGAGCCCCGCAAACGATCTCTTCTTGACTCCACAAGGGCTGGAACCGAATTTGGAGCTCATCTACGAACCAACCGCGGCAATAGTCCTCGTTGGAGAACATGTTGCTGTCCCACAGGATGTCAAAGATCTCGCCGCGGATGATGTAGTTGGTGCCTTCTTTTCTGTACGAGGTTGTCAGGCTGAGGTCTATGGTGACCTTTTGTTGGTAAGTTCGCGACGGGGTGTCGAGGTTTCTTGTCATGCGCCATCTCTCCGGTAATGTCCTGATGGCCCAGTTGCCATTCTCCTTCGAAAATGCTTCTTCCTGTTCATCCGAGCCACCAAAGTCTTTTACTTTTCTGAGCGACTTATAGGACAGCGAAGCATAGAGCTTCGATGAAAGGCTCCTGTGCATGGGCTCCATGTAAGTAAACTCCCCGAAGGAACTCTCCTTCGTCTCTTCCCTAATTTGAGCGTATTTTCGAGATTGCGGGTTCGAATTGGTGGACAACATTAGCAACTGTGTGCACGATGGTACAAGAGTATGCAGTAAATACGAGACTCAAGAGCCAACTCTTGACAGCGATTCATTCTGCTCGATCTAAAATAAAAATAAAAGACAAAAAGAAAAACCTAATACCGATCGTTGAAACACGAATACAAGGGAGGGTTGTACAACTGCAGTATGGAAATGAAACGAAGGACAAGCCGTAAGAGAAAAACAAGGGAAAGACACTCGGAGCTAATTTTGCATTTGTACCAGGATCTTGTGAGTGGAGGCGGATTGGGGGGGGGGGGGAGGGGGGGTGGGGGGGATTATGGATGGTTACAGTGGCGGGGCTCTCATGGCGGAGTGAATGAACGCTCTCCTGGGCGGCAGCGGCGGCGGCGGCGGCTTGGCCGGTGCCGGTGGTTTCGTCGCTGTTTGATTCAGGAAACTATCCACAGACAGCAACGCAAAAGAAAACCATCCTGAGCTCAACTGGCAGCTTCTCTCAGAGTGGGGGACGGATTCACTGGAGCCAATGGTCAAGAAAAATAGCCACCGACAGTAGATCGAGGGACACTGGATCCGCGCGTGTGCTCCTCTGCTGATCAACCTCTACGGATCCAGTGATAGGCTCCTCCAAGCCCCTCACGATCGCCTGTCAACGCGCTTCCTGTCCATCCGGCACGAGACGTGAGCCCCCAAAACTGGTGCGCATGGACGCCGCAAAGCAAAGCCTGGGGCAACACGAGGGATGATGAGAAATGGCCTCATTCCCACCATTGCCAGTGGCGTGGCAACGCTGTGTGCCGTCAGCTTCCTTCCCAGCCAACCCCATGATGTGTGCAGACACAAAAGCCCTTAGTAAACAGCCTAATTGTGGATCATTGTGACGTTGCCAATTGATAGCCATGTCTGTGATTCACCGCTTCTGTTAGCTCCCCATTTTTTAATGCATTATATTCTAGTTGTTGGGCTTATTTTATCCTACCTTTCAAGTGTATGATTATGTTTGCATTTTAGTATTTTAGTAGACATTGATGCAAATTTTGTGCAAAGTAAGATATGCTTTGATAAAGTCAATAATAGAATTGTATTCATTAAGATATAAATTACATGGAGTATTGTATATTAGTCTAAGTCTAATCTAATCTCTACTGGGTTACTGTGGAACTGGTGGTGTAGGCATATGGTGATACTCCAGTCAGCTTGAGTAAGTGACATTGATGTAGGGGATGTAAGTATGATTTTGTTAAGTAGGTAAAAGAAATGGACTTAAGGCAGTAATCCCAATATTCCTTCTTGCTCTTGAGGCTCCAATATTGTGGATATGGTGTGTCTTCAATTCTTGTCAACAGAGATCATTGAAGAACTTTGGGCCCTCATTAAACATACCTATATATATTAAGATTCTTAGTCTTGAGTTTGTATAACTATATTTTAATTGAATTGCAAAATATAAAAAAAACTATCCTAAGAATTGATGTAATTTGGTTTTCTGTGTAGTTGAAGATATGTGTGCTAGGATTCTAGTACTTTGTAATAGTGTTTTGTTGAAAGTGTGTTTGCTTACTTGAATGCTTCTCAGTTTAGATTGATAATGCATTGATTAAGGAACACATTATGAAAGAGAAACAATATAGAATAGGTGAAGCAGCTTCTTTTGGCTCCAAAGCCCTAGAATTAGAATTTGTTATTGAATATTTCTCTGAGCATCATGATCAAATGTCTCATGTACGCACACTACCTCAACTTCTTGTTATTGTGCATTTTGCTCTTATTTCTTTTGTAGTTAAGAATCATCACTTATGATATGTGCAAATTGCCAAGAAATAAAGACTTAAGATATGGAATTGTTAGTTCTAAGTAAAGAAAAAAAATTAAGTTGTGAAGTACAAAGTTTTTTTTTGGGATCTATTCTAATTAGATTGATTGTTTTAGGCAAGTATTAGACTACAATAGGACTATTTATAAGAGTTTTAAGGTTTTAGCTGAGGCAAAAGAATTCCTAAGATTTTAGAGAGGTTTGGCTATTGTAAAAAGAATTTTGTGTCCATGAATTTTCTTATGTAAGTATAGTGTGCTATATTCAAAGGCTTGGTTAAGGCATCAACCTATTGTTCTAATATGGGGACATAAGCAACTATGATTTTCTTGGTTTCTTTTTGTTCTTAAATAAAATGGTTCTAAATTTCAATGTATTTGGTGTAAATTTGTAGTATGCAATTATCTACTAATTTTATATAGCTTGAATCATCACTAAAAATGTATATAGGATCAATACATGAGATCTGGAGCTCTTGTAATAGAAAACATATGTGAATTGTATCTTTAGCAGTTTTTGTTATAGAAAAGACTATAGCAAGCTATCTTTTGTTGAGTGAGTCTATAGGTGAATTTCTAATTTATGCAAAATTTCATATATTGGTCTTCTTTTTTTCAAGCAATATTTGTAGTTTATATATATATATATATATATATATATATATATCACTAAAATAGAATTGCCATTTATTGGAAAATGAATTTTCAAATATTGTGTATTTTTTAAGTATCTAAGGACTTGTTTAGTAGCAACTACATATTATTAGTGTGGAGCTATAAGGCATATGTTTAGACATCCAATGACAAAACTAATGATGGAGCATGAAATGAGAGCAAGATAGAGTAGATTGCTATTGAAGGATTGACAATCATATTGATTAGTTGCTAGTTTGTTCATATCTTCATATATCTTCAAAATTGAGTACATGGGACTAGCTAGAATGTTGCATTGTTTCATTTTAAATCTCTTGAATAGCTTCTAAATATAAGAGGTTTGATAGAAAAATAGACCAGATCTATCTCACTTGGTTTCTCCTTTGAGATAAATTCTAGTTTTTTTCAATTGTATCATTTTAAAAGTATCTAATAGATGTTAGGCAATTATGTCTATCTTTGTGCTATTGTCACCTATGATATTTAGATTATCAATGTATATGAATACAATGATATATTTATTATCTAGAATACAATAGCATAAGTTTGTATTATATTTTTTTATTTTTATTTTTATTTTTTTCAATCCAATTTCTTAAAGATACTTCTCTAATATATTGTACCATACTCGAAGCGTGTTTCAGTCTATATATTGTCCTATATAGTTTACACACCTTGCCATCACTATTGTAAGTCTCATAATTATTAGAAATATTTATAAATTTGTTAAGTATTATATTCCTCCCTGCCAAAATCTTACCTTAATCTTCTTCCAATACCTCCTTTGACCACTATAGAGTCAGATATCTATTCTAAAAGACAATACCTTCAAAGCTTGAATAATCTATTCAAGCCAACAATCTCATATTCTAAATCCTATTCAAATTTATAAATTTTTTTCTTTTTTTACTTGGGTAGGAGTAGATAGGAGGGAAATTACTCGAATTTTGAAGCAACAAGTTTCAAGACTAGTTCAAGGTTTTTAATACTACTTATTAAATTTTTCATCTTTTTGTATTGAGATTTGAAAAGAAGCTAAGTCTTGTTGTTAACTTTTGAACGAGTTTTAGCATGCAGGAAGAGGAGCTACGATGAAGAAGATCTATATGAGTTTGTGAGAAAGAGATTGCTAGAGTTTTTGAAGCATCATGATTTAAGACCACTTTGGAATTTTCTGTGCCATTGCTTACATTTTCTTCTTATTGATTTGAAATTTTGAAGAAAATTGGATCTCATTGCCAGTTTTTCAAGAGCCTTAGCATGCAAGAAGAAGAGTTGTGATAAAAAGAGATCCAAACTAATTTGTAGATGGAGGTTTTGAGGGCAGTAGTTGCAGTAAAGGACCAAATTTTTTTCTTGATTTGACTCTCATTTTCTCAAATTTTTGTTTAATGACTTTAAAAAATTGAAGTTTGTAACTTGAGTTAAGTTCAATGAGCTAAATCTTACATAGATTGAATTAATAATAAGTAAATTATATATATTTTTAATAAAAAGATATTTGAATTTGAGATTAAAGCTAGGAGTTGGATGCATCTTAGCACAAGAAAAAAATTAATGTAAAATTTGCATTCAATCTTTAAGCTATCTTTTTTATATTTGAGTTCACTTAAGTAACATGGCACTTTTTACAATCCACTTACAAACAAAGACCTTGTATTCTCTTGAACAGATTTGTCTTCTTGACATTGTACGTTTGTTTGCCTCAACATAAGAAAGTAACTATATAATATCTATAATTACTACAAGAGCAAAGAAATCACAAAATCAAATAGATGGTTGATAAGTTCTTGTCAATCTTTTGAACATGACCATTATGAGGGAATTTTTACCTTTTGGCACTAGAAAGTATGAAGCTAAAAAATTCATTGGGACTTGGCTGGACTCTAAAAAATTGAATAAGTTTGGAGATTCTAGAACTAGTTTTGAATTGCTTTCAAATTCTATAGCATCATTTGAAATAGGTTTAGAATAAAGACTTGGAAAAAAAAGTCAATCAAAATATTAGTATCTTCAAAATATTCTAATCCTAACTTACTTTATTCAAATATTACATCTTTTGATATCAAATTTTTTTTTCTTTAGTAGATTAAGTAATATATATACTTTTATATTAGAATTATATCCCGTCATCAAATATTTTTGTATTTTTTTTTCTAATTTCTTATGTCTATATTTTGGAATCTATATAAATGCCAAATGATCAATTGTATAAAGAAAACTTACATCTACTATGTATTTGCTATATCTTTGTTTAGGAGTTTGGCCATTATTTGCAACAATTAGCCTCTAGTAGATAAAACAGTTGGCACACTTGATTGCTTCACTACAAAGATACTTTGATAGCTTATATTTTGCTAACATGACATATGCACATTCAACTATGGTATGGTTGCACCGTTCTATAATTCCATTTTGTTAAGGTGTGAGTATGTGCATCAATTACTATTTAATGCCTTATGTTGAGCAATATTCTTGAAATTTTGTTGACATGAACTCCCTTCTCTTGTCGAACCTCAATGTCTTGATCTTCTTGTCTATTTTCTTCTCTAAAGCTTTTATAAGATATCTAAATTTGGTAAAGATTTCTACTTAATTACATAAAAAAAACATCTAAGACTTGTATAAGAAGTTGTCACTAAATATTGTTATATAATAAGGTCTATCAAGTGATGCTATTAGCAAAGGCCGATCCATTAAGTTTGTGTATATAAGTTCAAACACTTTTATTTCATAGTGTTGAAACTTCTTTGAAAAGCACTCTTGATGTTGCTAATCAACAAGATAAGTTTTAGATATTATTTTTGCTAGTTCTATATTAGAAAGTCTTTTAATTTGAAATCCTCTTGATAAATAACTCAAACTCATATAATTCAAATGATTATATCCATTTTCCCATCTGTTTCATTTTGGAAATTAATTCAACAAACTTTTCATTAAATAAAGGTAGAATTGTTTATGTTTGAATCTTATATAATCTATTTCTATGATCTCTCTCTTCCATAGCTAAAAATCTCTTTTATTATAGACTTTAAAAAATCCAACATTTATGTATGGAAAAGGCTACAACATGCCTTGACTTGATAAGAGTACCTCCTAAATTTAAACTTTATCTAAGAATAGGAATATACAAAATATTATTTGATTTCATTGCTCTATATTTCATAAAGAAAGTAGCATTGCTTTTGCTAGTAATTTTATACTTTTCTTTGCTTGTAATAATAATACTTCTATTTTTTATTTTCTAGACAATATCTAATACTTTCTTATCCCTTGTTATATGGTTTAAAGCTCTCAAGTCCAAGTACTAGGTTTGTTGGTTGAACTTATCTATTTCGGCAAGTGCTATTTTTATTTCACCATGTACATCTAAGTACGTAATTTGTATATCATCTCTTTATTCTATTGACATTTGAATATTATTTGCTTGAATTATGATGTGGACTATTATATTAGCTTGATAAAAGATAATATTAACTAATAAGTTATCTATTGCTGGAAAAATAGTATGTGCATTATAGTACAAAATGCAATAGACATGACATTGGAATTCCAATTGTTATAATGGTCCAAACGATTGAAAACTTCTATCTCTAGAGTCTTGTCAACCAAAATTGCTTCCTCCAAAATTTTGAAGGCTGCATATATCAAAATTATTGTAGCTATTAAATGCATTAGAAGCATTTTTTCTTCAAAATCTTTTAATTCTAGTGTTGAAGTCCTGAGACTAAATTACAAGTGTCTTCAAGTCATCTCCAAGTTGCTTTGTCCGTAGCTCAATTCTATATGTTTCATTTATCATTTTTGATAATTTTGATGTATAACTAAGGAGCATATCTTGTGTTGTGATTCTTTGTATGAAATCTTTGTAACTTTAATGTTGTCCAACAAGCATGATTTCTACTACTATTTTTTCATCCCTCTTCTTGCCTAAGTTGCTTAGCTTATTCTTTACTTCATATACTTGTCAAAAATACTTCTTTATATTACTACCTTTTGTCATTCTCATGGTGTGAAGTTTATTTGTGAGTAGGAATATTTAAGTGGCAACTCTTCCTTGAAATGAGTTCTTAAATGCTTTTGGAGTATTAACTAGATCAACATGCTTAGTTGTACAATTTACGAACTCAACTTTGATAGCCATTAGTAACTATGACTAAGCCTTCACTTTGAGCTCCTTAAAAGTTTGCTTCATATAACTTTCTTTCTAATAGTATATGAAAAAACAATAGGTTCAATTTTTCCTCCACAAATATTCTATCAGGTAATACTTTATAAACTTTGTTCCTTCCACTCTAATATCATGATAAAGCCAACAATAGAATTGTATTCATTAAGATATCAATTTTATGGAGTATTATATACTAATCTAAATCTAATCTAATTTCTATCAAATTACAATATAATTGGTGGTGTAGCCATATGGTGATAGTTTAATCAGCTTGAGTAAAAGACGTTGATGTAAGTGATGTAAGTATGACATTGCTAAGTAGGTAATAGAGAGAATCATAGAATAGTAACTCCAACATGCTCTTGGTTTATATGCATGATTTATTTATTTATTATTGAAACCATTCATGTGATGAAAGTTTGCTTATGTGTAAAGAACAAACAAACTCTTTCTAGAGTTGTTCAGCTGTAGTATTTGTTGCGTGAAATGTTTGATTTGTTCAAGTTGCATGGTTGAAGTGGGATTCTTGAGGGAAAGAAAATAAAATTATTAAAGCAACAGCTTGTAGATTTTTGAAAGACATGACTGGTTGAGTTTGGAAAGCCTATTCTAAAACTTTTGATATCATATTTTCTGATAAAATGATACAAATTAAAAGTTGTTGCAAAAGTGAACTCTGCTTTACAATTTTACACCTCACTATGCATGATCAAGTAATCTACATTTGTAATTTTACTGCAAATATAAAACTTGGGTAATTGTTGAACTTCTCAAATTCAGCAGTAATTAACTTGCTTAATGATGTGCATTTGGACCCTGATGGCAAATCCCCATGCAATTCTACACCAGAACTTTCCAGATTTAAGGATCACACTATTCATTATACTAAATACCGATTTCATTGTAAACACTTCGCAAATGCTTTAGTACATAATTTATCTTTTAATTATCCTAAAATTTTTTTGTGAACACATTTTTGTACATTGATATTCCCATTCACTCACATGTACAGCCACATTTCTTTAAGCATTTCGTAACCACAGAACGTTCCGTTCACATTTTATAACGCATTTCATACAATATTTGGCCACCTTCTCTCTGTTTTACAAACACATGTACATGTATGCATTCAAGATCTGTTCCCATGTTTAAATTGTCTGCCTAACTTCCAAACCTTTAAAACCATCACCCTAATAACCTAAAACAATGATGTATGCACATTGCGGTATAACGAGCAAGTTGCCGAACCACACAGTTGCTGAGCTTCCTGAAGCGCCAGGCAAGCAAGCTGCGGTGGATCGTTTCAGATGCGACGCATTCAGATTCGTCATGAAACAGCGTCAGTGACTTTCAACAGCTTGCTTCTGCAAGAATTTGGTTCGTCAAGATGCTCTTCATCGAGCTGAGCTCCACAGTAACATCTCCATACATCATCGTCGACCTCGATCTGGTTGCAGTGGATGAGGAGCCGGAAAGCTGGTGCGAGCGAAACTCAGACCACGAGATGGTGTCAATCGTTTTAGGTACCTCGACATCTACGTCGCCAGCTAGCATTGTGAGCACGCGGAACATTGTGGGTCGCTGCTCCGGTGACATTTGTGCACAGAGGATGGCGGCTTTGAGTACCCTGTGCACTTGCTTCAGCTCTGTGGTGTTGGTGGAGTCTAGCTGAAGCCTCCGGTCCAGAAGGTCCATGAGCTTGCCATCGCCGTGCAGTCTGCAAGCCTGCGTGAACATTTCGCTAGTATGAATAATCCAGACAGGGAATGAACTGAATTCAAATGCGTGACAAGGTGTGAGAAGCCGAAGAAGACTTACGTAAATGGGCAGATACTCGTTGTCTTGTATTTTGGGATTTCTGTTTTTTCTGCCGGTAATAATCTCCAAAAGCAAAACGCCGAAGCTAAACACATCCGCCTTCTCCGAGAGCTGGCCAAAAAGCAAGTATTCGGGTGCTAGATAGCCGCTGCAGAAAGCCCCAACAGTTGTGGAGTGTCAGCCTGTCTGCAACATAATTCCGGAATGATTCTGGAAGCCTCAATGAAGTAGGTTGAGATATGGTGGAATCTTACAGTGTCCCAGCACGGTGATCGGTGACGATATGACTGCACTCGTCTTGTAGCGGCCGGGCTAATCCAAAATCTGCAATCTTCGGATGGAGCTTCTGGTCCAGTAGTATGTTGCTGGCTTTGATGTCTCGGTGGATGATTCTGGATTGAGAAGATGCGTGTAGATAATACAAACCTTGCGCCACACCCATACATATGTTCATTCGAGCTTGCCAATTCAGTGCCTGCGGAGTTGAACCCCCCGGCGCACCTGTGCATAGAAGAATTGAAAATAATCTCAGGATTAGTGCCTGGGAGACGATACAACCTGAAAGGAAGTAAGACACCGTTGCACCAATTAGGGACTACTCAGGTCCAAGCATGGCAGCGAGGTCTTGTTCAAAAGTAAACGAAATCATTCAGTTAGGGTGATGAAAGACTTACTGAACAGAAGCTTTTCAAGATCCCCATTCTCCACGTATTCATAGACTAGGAGCATCTCTTTCCCACGCAGGGAATAGCCTTTTAGACACACTAGGTTCCGATGTTGCAAGTTAGTAATGAGGAGCACCTCGTTGACGAAGTCGTCGCAGGCTTCTTTTGTTTTGAGGAAAAGCTGCTTCACAGCTACCACGGTGTGGTTCGGCAAGATACCCTGTGCACAACTAATTCCACTTGATATGCTTTCGGTGAACAATCACAACCAAAGTCCACCACATCGACAAGTACAGAAAACTAGAAATGTGATGGAAACTTTGATTATTACCCAATACTTAGAGAACCACTTAGAAGTGCTAACCTTGTAAACAGCACCGAAGGCTCCAGTACCCAATTTCATTTTCGGGGAAAAGTTGCAGGTTGCAACACGAAGTTGGTTGTACTCGAACCTTTTGGCATTCACTTCAGATTTCTCAATTTCTGCAGGTGGCGTTCAATCGAGGAATTTGATCATCACCTGATCAGTTTCTACAGCACAACTTTCCAGAAAAACTTAACGGAATTCAATACTAGTCTATGAGCGTCTTAATAACAAGAGTTCATCATAGTGATCCTTGGTAGATAACACTTACTTTCGTAAAGAGAACGCATTTTCATTCTATTCCGGTGAAGGACAAATGAATAAATCAAGACCACCAATGCCAATATAACCCCGGAGCACGAAGTACTGATTATGATGACCCTAAGATCACTCTTTCTCCCTGAAGAGCCTGCATCATTCTGACAAGCTTAGTAACGTGACAAACTACGAAACATAAGGTGACTTTCACATTTCCGCATCATCATAGACGGGAATAAGTCTCGACTTTAACGATAAGGATGTTCGACTTACTTGGCGAAAGAAAGCAAACCTGCTGGCAATAACACCTTTTGCCATCATCTTCCTTAGTAGAACCTTCGCAATAAGGATTGCCCTGCAAACTGGAGTAAGCATCAATTCTAATTACTCAATACCCAGTTCTGACGTGTACGACCTAATCGATTTGTTCTTCAGTAGTGGACCACTTCACCACTAGGATTCTGGAAAAATCACATGTCATTTCAGTTCTGTAGAGCTTCCAAATTTGACCATATTGCAACGACGTTCACTTGTGCGAGAAGCTACTCACAAGATTTGTGGCTGTGCTCCGTCAATGAATGCATTGGTGTAGACAACATTTGTGATGTTGTTGTTTTTCATGCTCAATACTCGCAAAGTCCTACCAAAACTGCTACCAACAACAGCTGAAATATCCAGAACTCCAGCAATATTGTTGCTATCAAGATACCTGCAAAAATTATATGCAAGGCTCAGTTTAATTTTGTTTCATCTGGTAACGACCCGTGCCCACATCTGATAGAGAATGTACTATGATGGGTACAAACAGATGTATGCAACTAGATCATTCATGAACACAGCGCCGAACTTACAAATTTTCTAGTCGTGGGAGCTCCAAGGAGTGCCAGTCGGGAACTCCCCCACCAATGTTAAGGTCTGATAGATCAACCACTGAAAGTTTCGAGGGAAGCAAGCTTGAGAAGTATAATGGCAGAGGTGAGAACCCTGTGAAGAGGTTTGAACTCAGATTTCTGCGCTCTCCATCACGAACAAAGCAAACACGTAATTATTCGCTAGCTGGCGGACTGGTTTCCAAGGAACGAAGCCCTCTATTCGTTTACTCGCTAGGTATCACGAAAATTCCAGGTTATCTAACAAACTGAGCGCATCATAATCTCATCTAGTAAACTGATCACATCATAATCATAAATTGATGGAACTCACAGGTTGTTTAAATTTTTGCTGAAGGTCAGATTCGGAGGTGGACCTGTGAACTTATTTCTAGACAAATCCCTGCAAGGTGGGTGTGAATAAAAATTACGCTTTAGCATGGCAAATGCACAGATTCAGCAGAGCTTCCATCGGTGAAAATAAGAGAATGCATGATTCCCAAACTTCAATTCTCATGTCTCATGATTGCAATAGAACAATCAGTCTAGAAAGAAGAAATAATAACATGAAATATTCAAACAGTTGCAAACTAATTAACAATAGAGAAGTCACCAGCCACGTCCCGGAGTCGTAACAACTCAGAACATCTGAATACTAGTAATGATTTGATTACTAAGTAATAAACGAATACGCGAAGCAGCTTAGAAGCATAAAATTTTGGATGGTGATGGGTTCCAGAGCTGACATTGTGAGTAATTCGGTCATGTTTTGGAAAGCATTTTGCGGTATGTCGCCCTCAAAGAGATTCCGGGCAAGTTTGAACACTTGCAATGCTGTCCTGACACTGAGTATAAAAAAGGTCGGAAATGGGCCTTCAAAACGATTGCCGCTCAAATCTCTGCGGTGCAAAAATCCGAACATTAAGCACCTCAGTGCTGAAGCCATGGAGGGCACTACATTTTAGATAAGAAAATGGAGGTCTCGATCAGCAGACAAATCATTTCGCAATGCAACAGTACAGTATCCCTCACATGATCAAAAGGTTACTAAGGCGTGATATCTCCTTTGGAAGTGTTCCATTAAATCCGTTGTCATGAAGGTCTCTGCAACATTGCAAGCCATGTGTGGTCAATGAAGAACGTAGAGGCAGTTCTCTGATGCGTTCAGATTCTCGGTCATCCTTGATTCATTCACGACAGCAAAGATATCGAAATTGATATGAACCAGTAAAAATGACTGGAAGAATCCGCGAGGGTTCAGATAAGAGGCTTACAGAACATTGAGAGGGATAGACCCGATCTCTGGAGGTAAAGGACCTGTCAAATTCGCGTTCCCCGTTAAGGTTCTGCACAGAGAAGTGGTTCACTGAATAGCTGGATAACATCATGATCAACTTCTTTTCTTCAGTGGGTGGTATGGCAAAGGAGATGTTTCAATTGCAGGGTTTGACACTCACAAGGTGACGAGGTTGCTGAGCTTCTGTATCTCCAGTGGTAAGATACCCACGATTGATGCGTCGCTCAATGTTCTGTTTCATTCAAAAATCTTCTGATTTAACTCCTTTCCACCAGGGAAAAATGATTGAAAAAAAAACAAAAAAACAAAAACAAAAACAAAAACAAAAAAACTAGCTCACAATAAACATACAAACTCAATTATTTCCCTGTTCCTAAGCATTTGTACAAGCAGCCCCCCAGTGAAATGAATTGAAGAGAGTTGCATGCGAGCATGTGGGAAGAGATAATTTACAAGCCAATGATCCAGTTGATAACCGTGCTGTCATTCAACCGATGCTGCAAGCAGGTAAGCCCCCGCCATTTCCTTTCAACGTTTGTGTTGCAAGGAAAGAAATCTCGTCCCGGTGAAGAGAACCATCCGGCTAAGTTCACGTTGGTGTTCGGGGTGCTCTCATTCCACGCACCCCAAAGGCTTTGCAACGCGTCAACTACACCCACAGCCACACCTCGCGTTAGGTCCATCGACTTTCATCAGAGACTAATAATATATAATCGGCTGCGATAATTGAAAATCCACGACCACCAAAGGTCTCTTCCCGCTGGAGCCAAACTCATCGGCAACTTAAACCTCAGAATCCAATTCCTGCAGCTGAATCTAAAGTTCTTACAGCATCCGCAACCAATTACCGCAACTGGGTAATACATAACCAAGACAAGGTGATAGAGGATACTGCGAAGCCCAGACTGCCATAATCTAGTTCGCAACGCGAGAATCGTAACCGACTGAGGAAGCAAGAGGTATGAGTAAGCACATAGCGAAAATGTGGACTAACACAGAGAGAGGCTTCAACGTACGCTCGTTGGAGGCGAAGCTCGAGACAGTCTGGGATAGAGCAGCAGGAAGGAGAGCTGCAACGTAGAGCAGAGCCAGCAGCACTTGGCGACGTTCCATGGCAGCACCACAGCACAAATCCAAGCTGAGGCGAGCCGAGGCTGCAAAGTAAGTGATGGAAGTGGAATTCGTCCACTAGGCATCGCAGAAGAAGAAGAAGGTCCGGATCCCACTTCAGTATGGGAAAGAGCGGGTGTCTGTGTGGGTGCCGAGATCCGCGCCTGGACCCGGTGGGGACGCCGCACCGGCTGGCTGGCCCCGTCAACGACTTCCGCGTTGACTACACTCCTCGCACTTCATTTCCTGGTTGCCGCAGAAAAAGGGATTTGGCTCAGGTTACAGACACACTTCAAATTGCTATATACACATCTATTATTTTTATACACACATCCAAGTCCTCTAATTGGTTGATCCAAATCCCTTTTTCTTTGTCTTTTATTTAAGAGAGGGCCACATAGTTGGCAAGGTTATGTGACTATATGTAATTGGGTACAGCAAGTTCATACATTAAATATCATCATATAATTGGTATTTTATAGTTTGGAGCCAAACTCAACATTTTTGTGGTGCAATTAATGCCTACGTTTAGTATTTTACTATCTTCTTAATTATGTTGTAATATTTTGCATAATAATGAACATTTTTTTTTTTTTTTTTTTTTTTTTCTTTCTGAAGGGTACTCAATATTAGTGATGTGTGAATGTGTGTATATATATAAGAAATAAATTCTTCACTATATAGGAGAATTTTACTTTTTTAAAAAAAATTATTTGTATTAATTTAATTTAAGCAAATTGAAAAGATAATCTATAAATGACCATTATAGTTCACAAACCATAAATCTAATTAATGAGAAGGTGGTGTCGTGTAGTTATTTTATGAAGTACTCTTGAAATCAAAACCATAATAAATATTTTATAAGAATGTCAAAGATTATAATTTAATGATAAATTAAAAAATTACAGATTTATTCTTAAATATAAATAACTAAGGTTGAAGCAAAAATAAATGCAAAAAAACATCTTATATAAAGACATTTCCAAAATATGTAGATCATCAGAGATCTTGTTTCATATTCCAAATTGGTAAAACCTACTAGTAAATAATATGCAACTTGAGACACTTTATTTTATTTTTTCAAATAAAGGAATCATATTTAATATTTGAATCTACATTATAAGCAATTGATTTTATGGTGGTTGTTTATGTTGTTTAAGGTTATAACCAACAAAACATAATTTGATAGAGATTTGAAAGACTTATAAATAATGCCACACTTTTGTATATATAATCAAAAAAACAAAACTAAGTGAGTGTATGTATGTGTATATATATATATATATATATATATACACACACATATACATACAAATATAGATTTTTTAAATTTTTTTATATAAAATTTGTTATTTTTTAATATTAAAATATCAAATTAAACATAGAAGGAATATAACTACCATTGATAGTTTACTACTTGTAACTTAGATATACTTGTGAGTTAAAAGAATAAAATTTTTAATTTTTATTTTTTTATAAATAAGAATTATTAATGTGTATTTGTGTCTTATTACTGTTAAACTATAGACACTTCAAGAAGCATTGAAAAAACTTTGAAATCATAAATTATTGTAAGAAACTAATTTATAAGATATTATAATGTAGTTACATTATAAAATTATTTTTTTGATTCATTTAAATTCTAAATAAAAGATAATATTACATAAACAGTTTCTAATCTAAGAATGAATATTAGATTATTAGATTTTTTTGTTTAACTCATAAAGTGTAATAAAATAAACATGTTAATAGTTATATATATATATATACATATATGATATTGGTGATATATAAAAACTGTCCAAAAATGGAAGTAACAATACTAAATAACAAGTCATGATAATAATAAGATATAATAACTAATAAGATGTTTTATTGAACTTGGTGAGTTTTTATGTAAAGTTAGAGAATGATGTATTGATAGTTTGAAGGTGGTTTGGGCCTTTAACTTTGCTCCAAAAAAAAAAAAAAAAAAAAAAAAAAAAAAATGTAGTGAAGTTGATTATGTAATTTAGCTTTATATATTTAAGAATGCATTTAATATTTAATCTTTGATTTATTGTGAGATTCTATTAACCAAAGTGCATCAATTTTTCTTGCTTATTTCTAATAATTGAATCTTTTTAAACTTGTGATGCAATCCTCTAAGCTCTTTATTGTTGTGCAAAATTATTTTTTCATTGAAAAAATATTTTTCAAATAAAAAAAATATTACAATCATAGAATCATTTCCAAATCAATAGAAACATGACATATATTATTTAACTTGATTTAATATTCTTCATCAAGATAATAAATTTGTATGTATGTTTTTTTGCTAAAGCTTATTCTTTGTTGTCTTTTTTAGATATTATAATACAATGGCATACAATAAAAGCATCTTCAATTGTCAGACATTAAAATTTCTATCACAATATTCAATAATCAATATTTTTATCTCAATTATATGTGATTTGAGCCATTCACTATTTTGTTGACCATTAAAAGCTCTTCTGCAATCTTTTATTACTTCATTATATTTAAGGACAAAATAAAAACATTGCATTACAACTTTCTTTAATTCTTAAAAATTTAACATTCATGTGTACATATTATAATATATTAAGTACAATGTACACATGCTATAGTGTACTAGGTAATAATAGATCTTTATATATTAGTAATACTTTTTTGGTAAATAAAATATTTTCATCTAAATATAATCATGTAATAAATTAAATTCAAATATTAAAATTAATTATGTATCAAACTTTTTAATTATAAAACCTCCATTTTGATACAAGATTGTTTTTGAAACCAATACTAAAATAATTCAACCTAAAACATCAGAAGATTTTAAGATTCAATGTCACATGTTTTGATATGTACATACCCCAACTCATTCATTCCTAAAAGCTACTTTTGATGAATGACTTCGACATTGAGTTCATATTCAAATCATAACCAAAGTTTTTTTTTTTTTTTTTTTTTTTTTTTTTTTTTTTTTCTTGCTTGATAAGAGATTTAAAACATATTGCATCAATTTACATATCCTCTAGTTTTGAATATATGTATTGAGGAGGTGTTGGTGTTGCCATTGAATTCTAGTAACATTGAGGCCTACTTCTTCGACTCTCAGATCGAAATTCTAAAAATCAATTATTGCATTTCATAGCAAAGTCAATTGATTGAAGATTACATAAGTTAAGCATCAATTTCTTTATTTCATATTGTAATCCATAGAAAAATCAGCTAATAAGTGTAGCATCATCTCACTTAATATCAATTATAAGTTGTCAAAATTGTGAAGCATATAATATTACAGATTGATTGCCTTATTACAATATATGGATCTTGTTGGTTGCAACATGAGATGTATCATATTCTCCATACATGAATCAAAATTTTGCCAAAATGCCTCCAGATTATCTAATATTAGATTTTGTCATTCAAAAAAAGATGAAAATCATGATAGTACTAAATTTGAAAGAAGTGTACTAATGAATCTAATTTGTGATCCTAAAGTTGGATAGCTTTGAGATTGAAGTTCAATCATAAGTTGTACTTGATTGATAAATCCTCAAAATTTGGAACTTGTACCATCAAACTTCTCGAGCAAGGCAGCTCTTGGTTCTCAAACACTTGAAAGATATTCCATCGTAGGTAGAAGGACATGATTTGGTGCAAGTGTTGAAGCAGCTCTAATCATCTCTATATCTTCACTTCTTGCCATTTTTATTGATCTTTGTAGTAGTAGGCTAAGTTGATGCATAGCAAACATCAACTTCTTTAATTGATCATGTATTTTTGCCATTGCACTCTTTATTTCAACAAGCTCTACTATAATAATACTCAAGAAAATATCCAATACTATTAAAGGCAAGTAGAAGAAAAGACTTGAAGACAAAGAAAATACTAAGAACAATATCAATTTAGAAGAGGGTAATCCGCAACTTCTAATAGGCTTATATCTTATCATGAAAAATAAATAATCCACTTTTAATTAAGATAAGATAAAACTCTAATATTATAAGTATATTCTTATTAATCTGTCAAGGACATGAACTAAAAAATGATGTATAAACCAATGAAATCCGTCTCAAAGAAAAAAAGACAAAATAGAAATAAAGAAGTATGTATATTAAAATGAAACTAAAATGGCTTATTGCCAAAAGACAAGAAAACTTGAGACTCTTGAAACTGGACTAGAAACAAGAAAGCAATTGACAAGAATATAGAGGCCTTTACTCTTTCTCTATATATACTATCTAACTATGGACTACCTGGCGATGTTCTATAGGACCTCTAATATGTGTTGATTTTGTAGGACACATGCCTTAACTTATAAGGCAAGTTTTTCTATGTGTGGACCACATAATTAGCTTGGTCTTCAAGCTAACAACATATGTGGTACATGGCCAACTTGTTGACTACTTTTCTAATCCAAAAAGTCAATTATAGGCAGCTATAAAGTCAAAGTAACATCTATGAAGCTTTTAGGAAGCTTTTATAAAAGATATTATAGAATTAACTTACTTTTACTTATTTCTACTTATTTCTACCTATTTATGTAGATAATTATTGGCTTACATGTGTATATCCATGATACATTCAAATGACCAAATTGTTGATGCCAAATTTTAAGCTTATCTTAATCTTGTGAAATCTCAGCAAATGCTGCTACTTCAATTCTATTGACCTTCTTACAATTAATGAAGTAGAGGTTGCCATCTCTAAAGCCTTTGGCAATATTTTCTCTACTTAATTTTATTATAAAACATCCATTCATATCAAATTGAATTTTACAACCATATAATATAAGTTTATCTACTGAAAGGAGTTTTTTTTTTTTTTTTTTTTTTTTTTTTTTTTTTTTTTTTTCCATCTTTGATACATATAAGACTTCTTTCAATTTGATCCTCTTGATTTGGTCTTTCATAAAAATCTCCACTACAATAGAATTAGATCTAATGGCTTATATTATATTATTGTCCTTCAATTAAACTATTATTGCTAAAATTTCTTCATAAGTATTAAATAAATACTTTTATAGTATTATATGCTTAATAGAATCCAAAGCTATAATCTACTTGGAAATGGTAGCTATAGAAGG